GTCAAGCAAACTAAATTTCATTATTAACAATTTCAAAATAAATGTGGCAAGATATTTTACCAACATTCCAGGAGGGCAGTGCGGGGCGTGGGCAGAGCAGCCCCCATTGTGTGTGTGCTCCACACAACTACTTCAAATACTTGTGCACACGCACAATGCGGCCCATTGTTGAATTATTTACATAGATAAATGCAAATACAAACAGAAAATACGAATACGAATAGGGCGAATACAATAAATAAGAAGAAATAGCATTTTTTTTTAAAGATATTTAGTTGTTATTTTTTGGTTTTTTTTTTTTACATTGCGCAAAGTTTGTACAGTTGTTGTTCTGTTTGTCGAAGGCAAAACGAGTGCACAAAATGTGTTGACATAATTTCGAATACCCTTTTGCCAAGCAAAAAAACAAAAAAAAAAACAACAACAGCACAGTGTAACAGTAGACAGCGCAGCAGCAGCTGTGTGCGTGTGTGTGTGTGTGTGTTGGACATTCCAGCGGCGCAACAGTTTGTGCCATATGCAAATTTCTTTACATTATCTGTCCAACTGTCCGTCTCTCTCTCTCTCCCCCTCTCTCTCTCTCGCTCTCTGTCTGTCTGCCTGACAACTCATGACAATCGTTTGCAAAGTCGTGCCGTTTTTTCTCCTTCTTCTTCTTCTCTTTTATTTTTGTTTTTGTCACTTTTTATTTGTTGCTTTATCTGTGTGCGCTTGAAATTCCTTTTAGCCAAAGCAAATGTCTTTGTAAGTAAACGCGTAATTACTAAAAAATGCGACAAGTTGTTGCTGCTTTTATTATGATTACGGTTTGGCTGCTGCTGTTATACCCTGTAGCCAAAAATAAACGTAGAGCAAGTTGATTTATCACAAGGCACTTGGAATGGGTTTACCAATGTGGATCGATAAGCCTCAAACATCGCATCGATCAAATCAAAATTACATCAGTTGCCAAAATTAACCGAGGTCTTCTGCTCGTTGCAAGGTATTCACTAGTCGTGCTAGCCAGAGTAAGCTGTGCAGTAGGTGCTACCAAATTTGTTAGACGCTTCAGAGTCCATTGTTAGAACGACAGTTTTATCTCTGGGGCATAAACTGCGAAGTTGTTAACTTCTTTTTAAGCAAGCGACATACATACATATCTTTATATATGTGTATGTGTGTATGTATGTGTGTATGTATGTGTGTATGTATGTGTGTATGTATGTGTGTATGTATGCATATAGCAATGCTGCTAATTTGCAGGTTGAATGACATTTGAATTCGGTTGAGCTATCTGTGAATGGACAGCTGCAAACAAATTTTTGCATAACAATGCAAAGGTTGATAAATGGAAAACCGTTATGTGTCATCGTTATCGTTATCGTTGTCGCACAATCAAACAAACACAAACACGCACACACGCACGCACACATTCATCCATGCACAATTTGTATTTATTGCAGATTAAAAGCTGATTTTTTTTCCTTCTCTCTGCTGTCGTTCCCGTTATCGCAAATTTGTACTCCCTCGTCTGTTGCTGTCTCTGTCGCACTTGCTCTCCGCCTATCGCATTGATGACTCACAGTGCATGCAAATTGGAAATGCTGACGAATTGGAAATTGAGCATCTAGCTGTTAAATGAAAAGAGTGACCAGGCATCACTTGCAAATGAGCTCCTTATGATATTTGTATAAACAAAAGTAGGCGATGAATGAATTCATTTGTGATTCAAATTGTGGCCTTAACGAAAATTCACGTGTGATTTCTTTAGCGGATGTTTACCTAATTTTATCGCCCAACGCGAATCGTAACGCTCAATTCAAAGAAGTTGACCAACTGCATGATTCATGCGATGAGTGTGCAGCCAAAAAGGCGATAAATGCACGTAACGTGCGAGTTGGAAGTATGCTGTTAACCAGTCGGTAGGGTGAGGGAATTCAACAAGAGTTCCAGTTCCAGCTCTTCTGCGAGTTCCAATCGTCAGCTGTGGCCGCATACATACATATGTATGTACATATAGAAATTGTGGATAGGGCCTGCCTGTCCCTTAATCGGCTTAAAAATGCTTTCAATAAAATATCAAAAAGCCATCAGGCGCATGCCGAACTTCAAATACTCTTTAATGAAAATCCATATATCAGCGCTACACATTATGTTATAAGACTCTGCTAACATAGTATAAGACAATATTCATACATCTGCTGCAGTGCAGCGTTGCCAACTGCTTGACAAAGTTCACAATAGCCAGTGCAAGTGTATAACGATAACATTAACAAGGCAACAGAGCCAAAGAACACAGCAACAACAAATAACAGAAAACTGGTCAAACTCGCGCCCAGCAACGCAAAGAAGAAGAAGAAATAACAACAACAACAACGGACAGAACAGAGTGCGGCCAACGCCTGCGCAACGCAACGAGGCGCTCTACAGGTTTTTCAGGTCGTTTGGCGACGGCAGCGACGACTTCTGCGCGGCCGGGTGAAAGCCAGACCCAGGCCCGGGAGAATAACAGAGTGCAAGGAGCATAACAGCGCCAAAAACAAAAACCGAAACAAAAAAAAAAGCAAATAAATAACATAACATGCCTGTCGTAAACAAATGCGACAATTGTGAAAGATGTTAGCGTACAGTGTTGGTAAATGCACAAGCCAGTGCCGGAAATATCCTTAAAATAAAAACACTCACCTGATTCTCGTGGGGCACCCAGACAAGACGTTTCTGTGTCCATTCGGCCTGTGTGGCCGGATCATTGAATTGATTGCGCTCCACCGAGAGATATTTCAGCTCGGGGTCGTTGCGATCGACTTCTTCTGACATATTTTTTCTTTTTTATTGTTATTCTTCGTTCTGCGTTTTTTTTTTTTTTTTTTTTCGTTATTTATTGTTTCGTGTTGGTTTCTATGTGGTTTGGTTTTTTTATGCAGTTGCAGATTTATAAATATTTTTCTGTTGTTTTTTTTTTGCAAAATAAGTTAAAAGCACATTAAAATTTTAATTATTTTTTGGCTTCTATTACGCACAACAAACACACGCACACACACACACACCTAGAGTGCAAATTGCCATCGCATTGTAAACAAACACATATATACACACACATGCACACACACACAGCGAATTTCGAACATCAAGATACATTTTTGCGGCACATTTTTATCTGCAAGAAGCGTTCGCCGTTTTTTTTTTTATCTAAGAAATGCGGCAGCAAAAGGCAGACGGCGAGAACGGCAACAGCAGCAGCAGCAGCAGCAGAAAATAGTTTCAAAAGGGAACCGACAAGAAACAAATATGGCCATACATTTTCTTAAGCCAGCGCTAGCTCGCTCTCCCTCTCGCTCTCACACTGTCTCTCTATCTGTGCACTCGAATGTTACTCTCTCTCTCGCCGCCGCAGCAGAGCAGACATATTCAAACATCGTAGATGAGCAGCGACGGCGACGGCGACAGCGTTCAGCGGAAAATAGCATTACGTAGCTGTTTGGCAATTAAAGTAACCAGTTTGCATTTTAAGCCGCAACATTTGCCTTGATTTTCGGTTATGGTTACTCTAATTGCGGAGCAGGTACGTCAGCAAAATGCGGCTGCGGCTGCTGCTGCTGCTGCCGCGGCCATCGTTCCTTCTTTTTTGTGTTGCTTGTTCTGCACACACACACACACACACACATGCATACACACACGCCTAAATACTCATGCACACACGGGTAGCGCAGTTTTCGTTTCGTTTTTGATTTTCATTTTCGTATGAATTTGTTAATATTTTTCATATATATTTATGCTCCCGTTTCACTGTGTCAGCACTGCATTTTTACAAATTCAACGCATTTCGCACACAATGCACACAATTTCATTTCATTTGTTTCAACAAGCGACTGCGGCGTCAACGGCGTCGGCTGGCCGGCGGCTTTTGGGCGTTGAAATTATATTTGACATGCATTATTTGTATATTGGGTTTTAGTGTTTCGTGTTTTCTTTGTTTTTGGCCACCTTTTGTGGGCTTTATGTGCACTTAGTTGTTGTTTGGTTGCAATTTGATTTTTTCATAAGTGGCAATAATGCGGTTTTTATTTGTTTCAAGCGACAGCTGCACTTCTTAACATTTGACACCAACACACACTCTTATACAATTTCGAACGAACCCAAAACGCGTCTTTCTCGTTCGCTGCTACCAGCACGAATGTGCGATTGCTGGTAACAGCGGCAAAGCAACCAACCTTAACATTTCGCTGCAATGTTATTAACAGCGAGCGTACATTTATTCTTGGAAAAGCGCGCGTCACTAACATAGCGATATAATAACACTTAAATATATTTCGGTTTGCGCAACATAATGTGATATTATGTAAGAACTCAATCAATTTATTGTTCTTGTTGACGGTATGCTTGACAGCAAACGGCGAAATCATTTGAATTTAACAGCTGTTAACTGGCCTAGACAATTATTTACATAGAATTTACAGATTTGATATTTCATGCTATCGATTAATAATGTACTGCACATTGTTTCAAATGTGTCTTTCAACTGCTTAGTTTTGCATAAATTATGCATTAAAAGCAAGAAATGCTTTATTCTCTCTGATTTTAGGAATATATATATAATATTGATAAAAACTCGATAGTATCGATTATCTGTACTTAGATTATCGATTGGTGCAAACGATGAGTGTGTATGGAACTAATTAATTGCGCAACATGCGTGTGTTGAGAAACATGTTGCTAAGCTAACCGACATGTTATACTCAAATCGGTAATGTTAAACTCAAATAGGTTAAAAAAACTGCTAGAAATCAGAGCAACTCAACTTACAGAAATTGTATGCGACTTCAAGGGAAAATAATGTATGAAATAGTAAATACCAATATTAAGACATATTTTGTTAATAAATTACCAGCACCGTCGCATTGGGAAATGGTATGATCGATAACATATTTTATGGGTGACTGTTATTTTTAACATTGCCGCCACATCGGCAGCTGCAAAAATTATGGCGGCTGTCGATATATATATTTACGGTGTAGTGTCAAAAGTTCATATCGATTGTGTTCATCGCGCGTCTGCAACTAGCTGGTCACAACTCAGTAGTTCGACTAATTAAATTTAATCCAAAGTCAACAAGATAAATTAGTGCAACACATTCCAGTGCGCAACACATCTGAGAGGAAGCCTGCAAAACAAAGTAAACCAGCTAAATGTAAATGGTTAGGCACTTTAAAACCAATACAAACACAGCCACACAACGTTTGCATGTGTGTGTGTGTCTGTGCGTGTGTGTATATGGCATACATATGTGAAGTTTATAAAGAAGCGTAGTTTTGTGGAGGCGCATTTTACGTGCAGAGCATACAAAAAGTTCGTAGGCGTTGGAGCTTCGTCAGCAACGGGAGCACATTAGCAGCGGCAGCGGCAGCAGCATAAAATCGATTCCAACTGCATGCGTTTTGTGTGTGTGCGTATGCGTGCGTGTGTGTGTGTGTGCGTGCGTGTTTGTTGCGAACGTAAGAAGCAGAGCCTCACGCGCTTTTCTCCCATGTTGTAGCTAAATTAAAAAAAAATATTTAAGAAAAAAATTCCACATAAAATCGCAGCAAAAATCTCGCGTACAATCTGTGAACGTGACCAGTTGCTACAGCTGAGAGTGAAATATACAATTGAAAGTTTTTACCTTGTGGCATGTTTTGTGAGCCGCAAGCCAAGTTAAACCAGGTATGTGTAATGTAATATCTAATTTAAGCAGTGTAAATATTATATGTTGCTGTCTGTATATAAAAAAAAAATGCGCGCCCATTATTACTATATACGTATGCACACACATGTACATATATAAAAGAGAGTGTTGTGCTTGTGCGTGTGTGTGTGAGTAATTTGTACATAACCTCAATACCTCAATTGATTACGGTCTGCGATAGCGTTCGTGAAACAGGCGTCTACAGCTACATACATATATATGAAATTCCCTACAAGTGTTATTCATTAAATATTAATTTATTAATTGTGCATAGCATATGCACAAAGGCTGCATTTCCTTTGTCAACTTCAATGCAAAATATCCGCAATTTAATTGCACTTGTGTGCATAATGTGCGTGTGTGTGCCTTTGAAAATTGTGAACGTAGACACATATTGCCTATTGCCTATAGAAATATTTGATAAAATGAGTATTTAAAAAATGCCACACAATAAATATTGCTGTAAAATGGAAGCTATTGAAAAGAGCAACAACAATGACGCATATCATTTGTACAAACACACGGTTGCAATCGCACACCGATAAATGAGAACGTATGTGTGTGTGTATGTGTGTGTGTTGTTTGAGAGAGCGGCTGGCCGCTCTCTCTCTCTCACCTTAATATTAAATACAACAACAACAAAACACAATGTTGTCAGCAGCTCAGATGCTCTCCCACCGCCGCCGCCCTCTCGCTGCCGTTACTTGAGCCCGGTTAGAACGCAACTTCTTTCAAATTGCACAAAACAAAAGGTTTTTCTTTTTTAAATACAATTTCTGCAAAAATATATATTTGTAAAAATACATTTAACTTGTGTGCCGGCAAATACAGCTTTCGGTGTTTGGTTTTTCGCAATTCTATTTGCATTTCTAGCATATTCCTTGCGTTTCCGCAAAAACTCCGCCCCGCCCGCCCGCGCCCGCCAGCCAACATTTTCTTGATAAGACCTCAATTTTGTTGCTCGCTCTTCTGAACGAAGTCTGGTTTGGCTTTTGGCTTTGCTGAAGCTTTTGGCTGTTGCCTTCTCTTTTTTCTCTTTTTTTTTATATTTTTTTTTTTTGCTCATTTACCCAAAAAGACGTGAAAACTTGAAAAACGAGTTATAGTTACATACGATCGCACTTCGTTTAAATACCCTTACGTTAGGCTGTGCCGCTTTTTGAATGAACTTTGTAACGCTTTCAACTATTTACTGTTCATATTCAGGAATATATATACAGCTGAGAAAAATAGAGTGAACAATATTTTTTGTAATATTAGAAAACTTGTGAACATGTATTCAATTTGTAGAGCAACATTATTATTTTTTTTGACATTTTCAAAGCATTTTAGAAACTTTTCCAAAACATTTAGAATATCAATTAAGTTAATTTGAAGTTTATATTTCCAATAGGAAGAATCTGCTTTGACTTTTAACATTTTGTTTGGGTCTTGGATCTATTAAAGTGTATTTACAATTCGGCATTAAGCTGTGCTCAGCAGCCTTAGTATTTATTTTGTGTCACCTTCTATGTAAATAGCGACTAGCTCAAGCGATTTGTCTTTGGGCAGCGCCTGCAAGAAATACTCTAGAATTTACAGCGACTTTTCTTCGGCTCAACATTGTTTGTTTGTTTTTTCTTGCCAAGGGCCAAGCCTGAGCAAATCTTGAACCCAACTGTGAAAATCATGTGCGAAATTCTTGGAATTTACAAACAATTTTACTATTTCTTAAGCTTGTTGCATTTTAATAAAGCGCTTGAGCATCTGAAGTAAGGATTTTCTGTAAATGAGCTGTGCTTTCTTAGATACATTTTTGTTGTTTTTAATAAATGTCTTATAAACCATCTTTTGTGGATATTTATATCTATCAACTATTTCAGATCTTTACACAAATATGTTCTTTAACTAAGCAACATTTATAAAAACTAAACAGTTTTTCAGTCTTTTTGACAAGTTCTTATTTTCAAAGGAATGTTTTTCTGCGTTGTTCTTTTGTCCTACATATCTTTGATAAGGACTGGAATTTTAGATGTACGCTTATGTCTGACATATGCACAATTTGGCAATCTATTGCAACATTAAAAAAGCTACATTTATCTAGTCTATATATCTTTCACTTATAAGCATAAAAATTGCTCTCGAATGCAAACCCTTTGAATGTTTTAGAAAACGTGTCTTTCTCAATTTACATAGTCAAAAATTGTTGTTAATTAACAAACTGTTAAACATTCATTAAATATAGTAGGCCCCTTACATACAAATCTTTGAGGCTCTACAAGCAACATTTAGCTTGAATTAGTTTTAGTCTATACTTTAGCAAAAAACAACAACGAACCCTCTTCCACACAGAGAGTATTTTACATATACATTTTGCTCTTTAGGAACTTATCAAAGCTTGTTTGGTTTTTTTTTTTTTTTTTTAGCTGCACTTTTGCAATGTTTTTTGTTTTTGATTTTGCACGTTTTTGCTTATTTTGCACGTAATTGTAAACTATTATCTGATACCACGGAAATTCTTGTAAAATGCAACTCGGCATAAAAATAACAGTTGTTGTTGCTGTTATTGTTGCTGTTGTTCTCGAACTGTTAAGCGTTTCGGTTGCTGCTGCAGCTGCTGTTATTGTTGTCGTTTCTGATATTTACATGTGTGCGTGTGTGTGTGTGCATGCGATATATGTTTTTATTGTTGCGCAATAGCAAACGGCAGCAAAGGGCATCTGAAATTAGTGTATACCAATTAGTTGATAAATTAAACCACCTGAGAACACAGGCACATACATACGGCTAAAAGAAACACCATCGACAGTACCTGGAAGTAAGGCAAATAAACTTGCGTGTGTGGCCCATTGTGCGGCGAGCCGTTGCCAAGATATCAGCACACACACACACACACCCGCGCACACACACACACAAGTGTGGTTGTCCCTTTTGCACTTGTTTTACTTGTAGGTGTATGCGCCAGATTGGGCTCGCGGGCGCTGCTCTTGTAGGCGTTACTCGTCCATGCAACTGCGTGCAAGGCGCCTGCTCGTGAACTTTGAACTTTGGCCGCATGTCATAAGTGTGTGTGTGTCTAAAAACTGTCCACTCGATTTGCATTAACTAACGCATTTGCAGCAGTTGCTGTTGCAGTTCATGTGCAGCTGGCAGGTGACAGTCTCTCGCTTATGCTCTTTCACTGTTAATGTTAAGTTGCCTTTTGGCGCTCTCACTCCGCCCCCGCTGCGCAGTGCAGCAACAGAAGCGAGCGCATGAAAAAGAAATCGATAATTGCAAGGTTTCCATTTCCACCACCACCACAATCATCATGTTGAGCGCACAATTCGCACAAGTATACAGATTTTTATTGACGCTTCGCCGCTGCCGCCGCCGCTGCCGTCGCTACGCTGGCTGCAGTCAGCCCCATTCAATGTTGAGTTGCTCTTTTCTCGCGGCCGATCAAATTCCAACATGTGTTTGACCATTGCGAAGAGCGGAAAGACCAATGCTCTCTGCTGGCCAATGTATGTATGTATGTATGTGCATACATATATGTATGCATATGTACGCCATTGCCATGGTGAGATGGCGTTGGCATCGCCGCAACTTGCATCCACTTTTTTTTTTATTTTTTTTTTACCTCGAACTGTCTGGTTGCTTTCTATGGCCGTTGTGTGCTGTCTGTTTGTATTTGTGCTTCTTCTCGTTTCCGTTTTGACAGCAGCAAAAACTACAATTTCACCACCACTTGCAAAGAATATACACATATGTACATAACTGCATGTTTATGTGTATTGGTGTGCATGCGTGAGTCAAGTGTAAGGTGAGGTGAGGCAAGGTGTATGCCGCGTCGTCGTCGCCGCCGCCGCCGCCGAAACAAAGTGTAACCGTGGCACTGTTGTAGCCAGCTACTCGTCTGTTTGGTTTCTGATTTTCAGTTTTCAGTTTTGTCGATTTCATTATGTACTGCAATATCGCTGTTGCTCGGACTCGTGAGTGTTGCCTGTATCTTTGTCATTGCCTGAGTGTGGGTGTTGTCATCTCTCACCTAGCACGCTCTCATTCTTTCTCTCTCTGGCTAAACAGGGTGTTTGAGCTTGAGCCAACTCGCTATTGACATCACCTTGTTATGCGCGTCATGAGTGTCGCCCGAAACACCCTGTTTGTTGCCGCTCATTGGACAGTCATGCTGACTCTTTCACACTATACAGTTGTGCCTTTTGCACTTACGTAAGCTTTACGTAGACAACTTTATGAGCCATTTTTGCACTTTGCTTGATTTTTCGTCCAGCGTTTTTTTTTAGATTACACATCGAAAATAACCAATTTCGATTAAACTCGTGATCTTTGCTCACTGTCTTAATTTTTGTGGAATTATGGTTTGCTGCTTCCGCTCTACTCCAATGTCAAAATTTTCTGGCCCTCGCGCTTAGCGTGAACACATTGAGCGGCTTGTTGGCTCTCCGAATATACAGCGTGGTTTATTCCGCACACATCCAGCTACTCGGCCGTTTCCACGAAATGTTTTCTGCCACACAGCTTGCAATTTGAACGCACAGCAACAAGACTCGCTACATACCATGGAATAAATGTACGTTGAGTGTAGTTTGTGTATGCCACATATTATGTATATAATATGTATAAAAGCATGTATTTACTTTTATACTCAAAGCAGCATTTTCCCCATTTTTTTTGTGCCCGTCGTAGAGGCTTGATGTTGCGCTGCTGCGTTGCCTCCCTGTTTGATATGCTGCTCGTCGTCCGTTGCCATTGTAGCAATAGCAACAACAGTTACGAAAATGAAAATGAAGAATTCCAAAGCAACACTGCGCGCGCGCATTTACTCTCCCTCTCATCCACCCGTTTCTTTTTTCTGTCGCTCTCTCCCTCTCTGGCTGTTAGCTGCTGGTTCGCTCTCTCCGCATTTCGCGCTCTTTTGTTTCTTTGCTCACACAGGCCGTCGTTTAATCGAAAATGTTTGCGGCGGCGTTAAGACGTACGAAAACGTTTCCTCGCCAAAATTTTGTGAATATCTGTAGAAATTCACTAGGAGGAAAATTGTTAAAAAGTGAATTTAAATTCAATATTGTAAAAGTATTAAAAACACATCAGTTAACCGCGTAGCGTTATTAAATAGCTGAAACGTACAAAATATATTTGTGAAAAACTGCTGCAATACATACATACAATACAATGCTCATATACTGAAGAAGAAAAAGGTGAAAAGTTGTACAGTGTGAAATAAAATCTAGTGGAAAATACTGCGTAAAACGTGAAAGTTTTGAATAACAAGCCAACAGTTTATAGTAAATACACTTATGTATGTATATGTGCATACATACACTTTTCGAATACATACATATGTACGCCGTTTCTGATGTAAGTTCCCTTCCGCGGGGTGAGGAATATTTAAGAAAACCGACCGAACTATTGCCCAAATGTATAAAATCAGTTTAGTTATATGATAATTTATACCATCTGCGTACTTGTTCACAGCTAAAACTTGTGAAAAATACAACATTTTTAGGTTAGGTCAATTTCAATTGGTTTATATACGACGACGGCACACAAACACACACATACAAGCGACATGCACAAAAGACATGCATACATATACATATAAAGCGCACAGACAAAAAGTCGTCGACGGGCTGCTCGCACTCAACACACACACACACACCTTTGAACAGCCACAAACACGCGTATACACACACACACTCACACACATACGTTTTTAACATTGCTTTTGGCTTGCTTGTGAACTGACTGTATTTTTTCAACGTAGTGTCGTTTTATTTTCGTTCGTTCATTCGTTCGTTCGTCCGTCTGTTCTCAGTTCGTGCGCTTATCTCGACTTTTGCTTTGATGCGCCATTCGCATGAACGTCTGTCTATATATTTTGTGCATATATATAAATATATATACACATAACATATACGCGCATTTTTTTTAATGTGTGTGCGTGCATATATATATATAAATGGGCTCCCAACACAGAATAGCTAACTGGCAGCTGGCTTGGCCTGCGGCTCCAAGAGCAATCACCAACGTCTCTCTGACTCTCTCTCTCTATCTCTTTTTATACAACTGCATGAGTGTGTTTCAATGAGAGCATCTTCGCTCACAACTGTTCGACTACTTGGGCTATGAGCTTGAATCTACCAGTCTACCTTCTGGTTTATTGTTCTTGTTTTGTATTCTATTCTGTTTTACTCAAAACCTATAGTATGTATGCATACATTCATATACATATATATATATATGTAGGTACTTAATTCTCTACACATCCATATGTTTTATGTATTTGCAAAATTTATTAATAGCACACAGTGTTACCCAGCGTGAGTGCAAAAGCGGCAAAAAAAAAAAAAACTTAATACACTAATAAAGAAAAAATACAGTGCTAAATAATAAGAAGTTCCCGTTGAAGCTAAATGTTTTTGCATATTTGCCTACATTTGCGTTATTCCCTGCTGTGTATACATAACAAAACAGATAAGATAATAGACGTGTGCACGTAATACAGCTATGATGAATAAAAAGAAAGAAAAAAATGGAGGGAAAATTTGCCCACATGTCTCCCCTTCACACATACACACAGGCACACATACGCGCGCACACCAACAATTACAACGAACGCCCCAATTTTGCTCGAGCAAGCTCTGCAACGGTGCTCACCGCGAGAGCGACAAATATAAACGCAGATGTGTGTGTGTGTGCGAGTTATAGCTGGCGGTCATAGTGCTCCAAAATACAGACATCAGCACGCCAGAGCAATAACAACAAAAGGCCACACGCAGTTATTGAGTGGGAGAGAGAGACAGAGTGAGAGAGAGAGAGCGGCATGTCGAGAGAGCGTGAGTGGGGAAAATGAGAGAGTCGTGTGTCGCGACAAACGTTTTCAACTTGTTTTCGCATTTGGCCATAACACTTGAAGGATTATTTGCTGCGGGAGGCGCAACACAGCACGGCACACGCTCTCTTGATAACCAAAAAGTGTGTTGTCTGCTGGAGCCCCGGTCCGGTACAGTTTTCAAATGCAAATTACTGTAATTTGATGTTTACAAATGCACATACCTTAAACGTTTGCACAATGTGAATTCACCAAAATTTGCTAGGCACATTCACAGAGGAGGTGGCAATGGAGTCATTCTCATACCATGGTATTTTTGTTTCACTGCCTCCCGCTAGCATATACAACATGCATACATATATGCATATACACGCACACATTCACATTCGGGCTCTTCTAAATTCAAGTTATATTTACACTTTTAACGACACGAAAACGCACTCACTGCTGAACACAAGTGGCTTGGTGGCTTGCTTCTCGTTCTTGGCTGTTGTAGTTGCCACTACAGAGCGCCCGCCAAATACTTGTTTATAGTTGTTGCTGTCGTTGAGCCATCGTTAAAAAACAAAAAAAAAAAAAAAGGAAAAAAAAACCTTTGAAAATATTCAAACTGCGCCACAAAACAAATATTCGGCCCTCTTTCTCTTGCTCTCTTGTAGCATGCGCGTGTGTGCTCGCTATCGCTCTCTTGCATGTTGCTGCAGCAGAAACGAAAGAAAGAAGGAAAGCAAGGAGAGCAACAGCCGCCTCACCACCACCACCACCACCATCACCACCACCACAACCACTCTACGTACTCATACTCATTCTTTTGTGTGACGGCTGCTGCGCGGCCTGCCTCTTGTAAATCGTGTAGATACAGGCAAACACCCTGTGCACCCCCTTCGGAAGCCCCCTCGCTCTTACGTTACATACTCGCTGTGGTTTTTTTTCTTTTTATATATGCAAGTTGACGTCGTCATCGTCGTGCATGGGTCATAAAAAGCTTTCAGCATTCTCTTGGCTGCTGCCCTCCCTTGCCAGTTTTTACTGTACCCGTTAAAAACAACAAAGCGCGCGCGCCCAATTCCGGTTGCGCTTACTTACACACATGCACACACACACGCACACACATACACAACTGATGGCTCTCCGATCTGATGGGCGCTCTGCTGCTGCTGCTGCTATTATTGTAGATGTTGTTGTTGTTGTTATTGGCTGCGGACAAAGAGATAATTTTCTACTACACGCATACGTGCGCATACATAGTTTAGTGAGTGTGTTTGTGTGGCTAGAGTGAAGAATTTGTTATCCAAAAAATTGTCATTTGATTGGAAATTGTTGAAAGTAAAATTAATAACACAAAAACTGCACCAAAACCAATATGAAAAAAAAAGAAGCGAGCAATTTGATGTTGCTTTTCAATAGGAATAATAAATGCATATCGGCTATCGATATAAATATATCGATAAGTATCGATGCTTAGAAGTTATCAGCTGATGCTAGACCTGCTCGAAGTCAATGTGATCGCCAGCAGATTTATTGTTATTGTTATTGTTTTTGTTATATTTTTTTTGGGGTCTTAAAAAAGAAGTATGTCATCGTCGGCATTTGGCTGTGTGGGGTGAGTGCTCCATATGCCAAATGCGTGTGTATGGGTGCGTGTGCGTTCATTCTACTAATTTCACGCTTATTTAATTTCTTGTATTTCCTTTTTGTTTGCAGTGATTGCTGCGACAGCGACAAGAGAAAGAACACAACAGCAACAGCGACTGCGACGTGGCAGCGCTAGAGACAGACGCCGAAACCTTAACTCTAATCAATTGAGAAAAAGGAAATTAGTTTGAGCATTATTGCTGCCGGCCGCTAAAGCGGACTGGGCGCGTCTATATCCAAATGCATAGACAACAAAATCACCAAACAGAACAACATATGTTGGATACACGAGCAGAGCAAGTGCTGCAGTCCAGTTACCAGTTACGACCACGACCGTTTGTTGCCTATTATATACGCTCGTAGAGAGCGTTATCCAACTCTCCCCAACCGGCGGCGGATTCCAGGCCCCCCCTCAACATCAGCATCAACAATAACAACAACAAGTCGTAATAATTTAGACTAGAGCAACAGTGCAAAGCCCAGCCACAAGAGACAGCAGGAGGAGATCGGACAACAACACAATACAGTACTTCAATTCCTTTTAAGCAAGCATGATGAAACGAACGCGCATCGATGAAGTCCAATTTGGCACACGCACCGGCCCAGGACCGGGCGGTGGCGGCGGCGCCGGTGTAGGTGCCAACAGTGCCACAACTAGCGTTGGCGTCAATACAGCCGGAGGCGTTACCATCGGCACTGTGGTACCAAATGCACACAGTGCCACAATCAGCGGCATCGGTTCGATACACCATCGCATATTGACGCCGCAGCATGGCGGCGCCCAGACCATTGCCTATTTGCCGTCCACAACGCCGACGGCAACGAATCTTAAAACAACGAGCAGCATTGTCGATAGCGCCAGCACCGGCGCCCAAACAAACGTCACTGGCGTCGGTGGCCCCGGCGCCGGCGGCGTTGTCGTCTCAACGGGCAGCGCGGCCACCCAAACCTTGCAGTATACCACATGTAAGTCCAGTGCAATTTTCGGCATACCACATTTTGTGCTCATGACGTGTCTTTTTCTTTAATATATGTATTTCGCTTGCGCAGCTTATAGCGTTGCCTCGATTCAAGCGGGCGGCACTCTGAAGGCCAGCACAACGGATGGCAACGCGGTGCAAATACATGTTACAGGCGGTACTCCAGTTGCCGCATCAGCGGCCGGTGGCGGCGGCGGCGGCTCCCAAACGGTGTCCAGCAGCTGTCAGACGGGCAACATACGTCAGCGCACGATAAGCGGCACCCAAACGAACGCGACCAGCAGCAGTCTGACAACAACAGCACAGCAGACGCAGCCGGCGGCACAGCTGACAACACCGCCCAACGGTCCGGGCGCAGCTGGAGCTGCAGCCGGAGCAGGCGCTGGCAACAGCACGCCACCGCAGGGCGGACAGTCGGCGGTTGGTGGCGGCGGCAGTGCGGCGCCTCGTCTTAAGGTCGAGGATGCACTCAGCTATCTGGATCAGGTTAAATACCAGTATTCCGATCAGCCGCAGATCTACAACAATTTCCTGGACATCATGAAGGAGTTCAAGTCACATTGCATTGACACGCCCGGCGTTATTGAGCGCGTCTCCACGCTATTTAAGGGCCACACGGAGCTCATCTATGGCTTCAATATGTTTCTGCCGCCCGGCTATAAGATTGAAATCCATTCCGATGCGCTCGGCTGCTCTGTGCCGGTTGTCTCGATGCCATCGCCACCCGGTGCGCCCAGCAGCACGGGCACGGTGCACATGATTGCCGCCGCCGGCAACAGCCCATTGGCGAGCAGCGTGAATGCGCATACAACGCTCAAGCCGCTGGCACAATCCCAGGGTCCAGGTGGCCCCGGTGGTGCGGCTGCCGCTGCTGCAGCGGCTGTGGCCCAGATACAAACGGCTGGCGCCGTCAATTTGATGACACACGGTGGCGCCTCGCTCACCCAGACAACCATACACGCATTGCAGCCAACAACTGTTGCTGCGGCTCAATCGCCGGGCGGTCATGTGCACGTCACAAGCAGCTCAGCCCCGGCACCAGGCAGCGTTGGCGTTGGCGTCGGTGTCGGTGTCGGAGTCGGTGTGGGTGTATCGCCTTATGTGCCACAGAACTATTCAAGGGATCGGGCTGAGCAGCGTGCAACCATAACGCCAACGGGTCCGGGTCAGGTGGCTGCATCGGTGTCATCCACGGCTGGTTCTAACATTTCCGTTGGCCCACCGACGCCAAATTCATTAAGTGAGCTAAGTCCACACGCAGGGCCCGCTGCACAGCACAATCTACATCACATCCAGCAGGCGCATCAGTCCATATTGCTCGGCGAGACGACGGGCCAACAGAATCAGCCGGTGGAATTCAATCACGCCATAACCTATGTGAATAAAATCAAGGTAAGCAGCTAACTGAAATCCCTTACAATTAATCCTTATAATAATGCGAGATATCTTCTGTCCTCCGCAGAATCGATTCCAAAGCCAGCCGGCCAAGTACAAGAAATTCCTGGAAATACTGCACGCCTATCAAAAGGAGCAGAAGGTCATGAAGGAGGGCAGCACCGGCAGCGGCCTGAATCAGGGCAAGATGCTGACCGAACAGGAGGTCTACACGCAGGTGGCCAAGCTCTTTGGCCAGGACGAGGATCTGTTGCGTGAATTTGGACAATTTTTGCCGGATGCCACCAATCATCAATCCTCTGCTGCCGCTGCCGCCGCTGCACAATACATGTCCAAGTCGTCGTCGCTGCACAACGATCATCACAACAAGCAACAGCAGCAGCGCACCACAACGACGGCCACGTTAAGCGGCGGTGCACACATTAGCATGTCCACGGCCTCGCCATCGACGGTGCCCAACAGTGGCTCCCCCTTGCACCTGAGCAGCGGGGCGACGCTCTCGCAGATCGATAGCAGCAGCGCGCATGCGCATGCCGCTGCCATTGGCAATCTGTCGGCCGTCAATACCAGCGTCAGCATCAAGTCCTGCGCCGTGCAGCAGAATCACATTATCAGTGGCAGCATCTTTGAGAAGGAGTACCATGGACTGGGACAACAACAACAACAGCAGCAGCAGCAACAACAACTGCAGCAGCAGCAGCAACAGCAGCGGCATCAGGGTCTGCCGCCGCCGCATCTACTCTCGAGCGGCACGCCGCCCAGTGGTCTGCGCGGCAGTGTGGTCGGCGTGGGCGCTGTGCTGGATCAGCGCAATAATCATCATGCGCAAAAGTATGTGGCCCAGCATCCGAACATGTCGCAGAAGAAGTCGCCCAGCTATGGCGGCATCTCCAGTCTGCAGCATCTGCCACATCTGAACGACAATTCGCTGGATCGCAATTCGCCAAATATTGCCAGCTATGTGACGCCGCCGCAGCAGCTGCCCGCCCATCCGCATCCGCATCACAATGCGCACAATTCGAGCAGCAGCGGCGGCAGGCGGCAGGCAGTGGATGAGCTGGGAGCCGCATCGGTATCCAGTGGTATGGGCAGCGCCAGTGTCGGCAGCGGACCGCCGCCGGCGAAACGACCAAAGCCCTATTGTCGGGACGTCAGCTTCTCGGAGGCGTCGCGCAAGTGCACCATCTCGGATGCGGCCTTCTTTGACAAGGTGCGCAAAGCGCTGCGCAGTCCCGAGGTCTACGACAATTTCTTGCGCTGCCTGACGCTCTTCAATCAGGAGATTGTGTCCAAAACGGAGCTGCTGGGACTTGTGTCGCCGTTCCTGATGAAGTTTCCGGATCTGTTGCGCTGGTTCACCGATTTTCTCGGTCCGCCCATGTCCGGCCAGGTGGGCGGCTCAGCCGGTGGTGCTGGCGGGCTCATCGATGGCCTGCCGCTAGCTGCAACCCAACGGCAGGGTAGCAACAGCAGCTCGCATGAGCGGGCGAGCAGTCACCAGAGCACAGACTATGTTCAAGATGTGGACTTGTCGCTGTGCAAGCGTTTGGGCGCCTCCTACTGCGCCCTGCCGCAGTCCACGGTGCCGAAGAAGTGCAGCGGACGGACGGCTTTGTGCCGCGAGGTGCTCAACGATAAGTGGGTCTCGTTTCCGACCTGGGCCAGTGAGGATTCAACGTTTGTTACCTCGCGCAAAACCCAGTTCGAGGAGACCATCTACAGGTGAGTGTCGGATCCGTTTCTACTCTCTTTCTGCTCACTCCCCCACAACTGCATCCTTTGCACCTTGCACCCATCCTCACTTGTCTGTCCTTCACTTTCTGTTTTTCGTTTCTTTTTCTGTTTCTGTTCTTTTCGTGACGGTTTCTGTTTCTGTTCTTTGGCTTTCGTTTATATTTTATGAATTAACCAATCAACAAACGCTCTAAACAAAAGGAATATTCACAGAACGGAGGACGAGCGTTTCGAGCTGGATCTGGTGATCGAGGTGAACAGCGCCACGATACGTGTCCTGGAGAATGTACAAAAGAAAATGTCGCGCATGTCGCCCGAAGAGCTGGCCAAATATCATTTGGATGATCATCTGGGCGGCACGTCCCAAACGATCCACCAGCGGGCGATACATCGCATTTACGGCGACAAGTCCGGCGAGATAATCCAAGGCATGAAAAAGAATCCCTCCGTGGCGGTGCCCATAGTCCTCAAGCGGCTCAAGGTCAAGGAGGAGGAGTGGCGGGATGCACAAAAGGTTTGCGACAACATTTTTACATCATTTTATGCGATATTTCAACTCGGATTTCTTTTTGCAGAACTTCAATAAACAATGGCGCGAACAGAACGAGAAATATTATCTCAAGTCGCTGGACCATCAGGCAATCAATTTCAAGCCCAACGACATGAAGGCCCTGCGCTCCAAGAGTCTCTTCAATGAGATCGAGACGCTCTACGATGAGCGTCACGATCAGGACGATGATGCCATGGAGGCGACCGGGCCGCATCTGGTGCTGCCTTACAAGGATAAAACCATACTGGACGATGCGGCCAATCTGCTGATACATCATGTCAAGCGCCAGACGGGCATCCAGAAGCAGGAGAAGCAGAAAATCAAACAGATCATTCGACAATTTGTGCCTGACCTATTCTTTGCGCCCCGACAGCCGCTCAGCGACGATGAACGCGATGACGGTAAGCAGCAAAAACAAGTCGCCCCCAAACTAGAAACATTCAGACAAACAACACATTAATTTAATTATATTATTAATTTTTTTTTTTCGTATGCACATAATAGAGCTTTGCATGTTTTACACACAATTAGTCATTTATTATTTGTATTATCGTATCGTAGAATTTACATTCAATTCAATTTTTAAACCAAAAAAGCACTTAAAAATTCAGGAATTTAGTCAATTCGGTAACTCTCCAAGCGCAGCCAACTTAACTGCCTATTAAATTCTGGCAACCCTGAAATCTTGTGCTCATCTATTAACTGTTTTTTGCTAAGTTTGTTCCAAGTTAAACAGAAAAATGGCTTTAGAGCGTTGCCACTTTGTTGGTATTTGGGTTCACTTAGAGAATATTTACAAAAGCGTTTTTATTTTTTTAAATATTCCTAATTAATTTAAATATTAAAAAAAAAAAAAGTTATCAATTTATTTAAATTAATGAATTAGCGTGGCGTAGCCAACCTAATAAAGTAATTAAGGAATTAGAAAGCCAAAAATTAGATAGCTCTGACAACAGTTTTTAATTAAAATCAATTATTTATTAAAGAATAAATAACTGCAATTTGTAGAAATCATGACCCTGTACACACACATAAGCACAAGCGTTCCATATTTATTTGAATTTCACACATAATTTGTTTATATTTAATTAAAAAATATTGATTTTTTATTGCTACTAACAATTATTTACATATCCAATAGATATATATATATTAAACAAAAAACTAACCCAGCATTTAAAACATAATTAATGTATGTATTTATTTAAAAAAAAAAACAACAAAATCGAAACAAAAAGCCCAATTGTTAATTTCAAGTATTTTAACTTAGTGAATGTTTTTCGTTTTCTTTTTCTTTTTTTCTTCTATTCGCAAAAAAAAAAAAAAAACGTAAATTTGAACTGAATTGAAATTGGCAAATCATTTACCGTTCGTTCGCAAACAAATTTGCATAAATAATTTGTAATTTAATCAACCGTAATTTGAAATGCATAATTTTGTTGACTAACAAAACGCCCAACGACCAAATGGGCGGCCACAACGAACATCACCGACCCAACGTATACACTACGATCACCACAAACCACACAAAACAATCCTTGTTGTTGTTGTTGTTGTTGTTGCACGCCTTTCTCTATAGCCTTTCCATTTTTGGTAGATGACACTAAAATGGAAGTCGACTCGCCAACGAGTCGTGCCCCCAAAGGGGTCGGCAGCGGCGGTGGCGGCACGCTCAGCGAGAGCGCCTCGCCGGCGCGCAGCAATGCGAGCAGCAGCAGCAGCGGCGGCGTCGGCGTTGGCGTTGCCAGCGCCAGTGGAGCACCTGTAACGACGGCCATTAAAAAGGAGCCCGAGGATACAATCAACAAAATGCTGCCAGCGACAACGGCAACAGCAACAGCTGCAGCTGCTGCTGCTGCTGCAACAGCCGACGATGCAACGCCGTCCACCTCATCAGCCGCCGCAGCTGCGGCAGCGGCAGCAACAACAACAGTTGATGCCAAAGATAAGCCAGATCCAGATGCGACGCATCGAACAACAGGAGGCGGCGGCGGCGTCGGCGCCGAGGAAGCATCAAAAACAGCCGCAACGGCAGCGAGTCCCAGGCGGAGCGAAGAGGCTGCAGCAACGACGACGTCAGCAGCAGGAGCAGCCGGCGGCAACGATGTGAATGTCAAGCAGGAGCAGAGCGAAGACTGTGCGAATCCCTCTATGTTGCCAGCGCATGCGCAGGGTCAGCGTGAGGTAAGTGCAATTGCTAAAAAAAAAAAGCTCCACTGAAGGTTTACTAATGCCAGATTTGCTTGCTCCTTTCTCAACTTTAGGATGAATCCTATTCGCTGTTCTTTGCCAACAACAATTGGTACCTGTTCCTGCGCCTGCACGCCATCCTCTGCGATCGTCTGCACGTCATGTACGAGCGGGCGCGTCTTCTGGCCATCGAGGAGGAGCGGTGTCGCGTGAATCGGCGCGAGAGCACAGCGACGGCATTGCGCCTGAAGCCCAAACCAGATGTGCAGGTGGAGGACTATTATCCCACGTTTCTCGATATGCTGAAGAATGTGCTCGACGGCAACATGGACTCGAATACCTTTGAGGACACCATGCGCGAAATGTTTGGCATCTATGCCTACATATCCTTCACGCTAGATAAGGTAAGCTGCTCAAACGATGATGAATCCATAAGCGAACTATTCAATCTCATGTTTTCCCAATTGCCAACAGGTTGTTTCCAATGCCGTGCGACAGCTGCAGAACTGCGTCACAGAACGTGCCGCCCTCGACTGCGTGGAGCTATACGCCAGCGAGCAGAGACGCAACAGCACCGGCGGCTACTGTCGCGACGCCCACAAGAGCTACGAGCGCGAGCTGGGCTACCAGCGCAAGGCGGAGAGCATCCTGAACGAGGAGAACTGCTTCAAAGTGTACATTGTATGTCTGGCAGTAACTTATCAATTGTGTTCAATCCGAAATCGAATACCCTAACAATATCTTTTGGCAATTACAGTACAAGATCGATTGTCGCGTGACCATTGAATTGCTTGACTCGGAGCCGGAGGAGGTCGAGAAGCCGGCCGCATTAAAAGCGCAAAAGTTTAGCAAATATGTGGAACGCTTGGCCAATCCAGCAATGGGCGCCGGCGGCGGCAGCAGCAGCAGTAGCAGCAACAACAACAACAGCAGCAGCAACAACAACAACAGCAACAACAATAACAACAACAACAACAGCAATCAGACAGCGTCAGGCAATGACAATCTAGTGGAATCGTCCGATATCAAAACGGAGGAGGAAGAGGAGAACGCTGAGGTGAGTGGAGGCCATTAAAAAGAAAAAGAAATAAGCGTATCTAAGCGTATCGGCTACATCAGCTAGAGCAGCAGCTTTGTGTGTGCTTGACGAGTGGTTAACCATGTTGTTTGTGTTGTATTCTCTGTTGTGTTCATTTGTTTGTTTGTTTGTTTGTTTTGTTGTTGTTCAGTTTAGTAACGACTTTTGAATCATTAACTTAAAAATAGAAGTCTTCAAAGCAACTTGTCAATAAAATTTCGATAGTCAAAACTATCTATCTGTATGTTTATAACAATGGAATAACTGTATATAACTAGTCTAAAGTGCTCTGCTATATATATTAAACAAATTCCGAAATAAAATTGATCCATATAAAAAGAGTATTTGCCAGTCAGCTGTCCGTGTCAACATGTTCCCATGCTTTGAATATTTCGATTAGATTCTAATAAGAAATTCTCATACATAAATTCCCATACGGAACATTATTACAGTTGCAATAGTACAAATCAAAGCCATCGATACTGTGGTTAAGAAGAAATCGACTTGAACTTTTTGAAAGAAAAAAGAAAAAACCAATTACGAACCAGACAGTTACTTAATTTTTACCTTTACATATGTACATATACATGCATATCGTATTGCTCGAATGTATTGCGTTTGTGTATATATATATATATATTTGTGTTTCTCTCTTACTTCATCCACTTGTCCTCACAGTTCACAAACTGTTGACAGTTATATTTGATATTTGTTTTTTTTTTTTTTCGATTATGATTTTGCGGGCCCTTTTGCGCTTTACGCACATTTTCTACTTTTTCTACAACTTTCATTTTATCGTTCTCTTTTCTTTCCGTTTCGTCTCTCTCATTTCAACATGCCGCCTACCAATCGCCCACATATCCGTATGCGAAACAAACTTGCAAAAAAAAAAAAAAAAATACCGAAAAAAACGAAAAAAAAAAAGAAGGAAAATGTTCACTAATTAATGCTTTTTTCTGCATTTTTTCTCTCATTTTTTCCACTTTATTTTTTGTACCAGGTCAATTCCAAGGCTTGAAATAACAAAATAGTTTTGATAATTTCATTGAATAAGAAGAAGAAAAAGTCGTATTGCAAAATGAAATAGTAATAAATAAATTTGTTTTTTGAGATTAACCAACCAAAAACCGCAACAACAAAAACAACGAAAACAGTTCTCATCCCCCCCTCCCCTCCACCATCTGCACCCCACATATACACGCATACACACACACATTCAAACCCATCCATCCAATCACATTATACATACATAGAACATTTGAATGTAAAAAGTCGAATACCATAATTTATACATTAACATATGTAAATTTTAGTACATACCCAAAATGAACATATAAGTTAAAATGCATATATTAATATGTTAACTAGTAGTTTCCAAATAATATTCATAGGCACGCATTTATTGCAACTTATTTCTAATTTTGATTATGTTTTTTGTTCGTTCGTTCGTCTTCAAAGGAAGTATTACAAAATGTACTAAAACAATGCCCAAGCACAGCTAAAGCCAAGCAAGCGCAGAGATAGTTAAATCTAAAGAGAGCGCCAGAGCGAGAGAGAGAGAGAGCGAGAAATTATAGTAATGGGTGGACAGTGTATGCGTGCATGTGTTTGTGTGTGGTGAATAGCATATGGTGATCGGTTGCTACATATCGATATGTTATCGAAAGCTATGTTAAAAGCAAAAACAACTGTAAATAATGTTTGTATGTATGTATTATCGTCTAGCTTAAGTGTTCAGCGTAGCAAATTTTTGTAAAGAGAGGACAAACTGAGAGAGCGAGAGTGAGTGAGAGATTACTTTAGAATGCAGCCTGCTCTTACAGCAGGCAGCCCGTAGGCGTGTTATATGTATATATAACACGCACACACACACACACACACTCATATAAATATATATATACATATATATATATTTAACAAATTTTTATAACTTCACTACAAAATTACAAAGCATAAATATATATAACTGAGCATTTGATGACGTATAAACGTTGTTTAGGTTCTTTAAATTGGGTTTCTCTCGTTTGTTTTTGCATTTGTTTGTTGTTTTTTGGGTTTTCCTTTTTGGGCTTAGTGCAGCTGCCGTGTGGCATACATACACACACACATACGCACATGATGTGAGTGTGTGTGTGTGTGTTAGTATACGCTTTTAAGTTTTACGCAAAGGTAAGTTATGCCTGACCTTGTTATGCATAAAAATTCATTTAAAATTATGTAGCTAAACATGTATTTGTATCAAAGGCGATTCGCTTTTAAAATGTGTGATTATTTTCATTCTGTTTTGTTAACGAATGTGATTGTTTGTGTGTGTGTGTGTGTGTGTCTCTCTGTGTCTGTGTGTGTGTGTCCAGTCTTGGCCTGGTACCTAGCCACAAATTGTGCCTCCTTGGTTCTTCTTCTTTTAGCTTGTCCTGTAGTGTCTATTATTGTTTGTTGACTCATTTCCCACGCACACACACACACACACACACACACACGCACACACCTACACACGCATACCTTAGGCTTAAGTACCTTTACTTAATTTACTTGTCAATTTGTGTTTTTTTGTGAAAGCATGTTCAAATTGCATTTACAATTTGTTGTAAGTTTCGTGCCATAAACAAGTTAACTAAATGTCATTTTCTTTTTGTTTTGTTTTTTGTTTTTTTTTTTCGCCTCCCTTCTCACTCTTGCAGCTGGTGCGCGGCGCTCGCAAAGCGCGTTTTCTGCTGCGCAACAAGCGACGCTCGCAGCTGCACGAGGAGCAGGTGCGTCAGCTGTTCGAACAGAAGCGCAGCTGCAGCGGCATCGAAGGGCACGCTGCTGCGGCCGAGACGACGCCAAATGCCGGCAACAACAATATAAATAACAACAATAACAATAACAACAACAACAATAGTTGGAGCAAACGTGCACCTGAACGCTTGGGCGCCTCACAGGTGGGCCTGGCGGAGCAGTATGCGTTCAATGACCGCGACGAGATAAGCACAAATGCCAGCAACGGGCGCTGCTTTGTGACCAGCAAGAATCTCAATCTACTCAAATACGATGCAGTGCGTCGTGCCAAGAAGGTGAGTCGGACCCTTCTCAAGTGCCATACTAGACAACTAACCCCCTCTCCTTTCACCCGCGCAGAGTCATTGCCGCGTTACACAGGCCAAGTACACGCGCTTCCAGAGCTACGTCAACAGATGGCTGCAGCAACACGTCAGCGAGCAGCTGCAGCAGCACTGCAGCGACTGGCTGCTGGGCAAGACGCCCGAGCAGATCAATGCCAGCGGCTGGGGCGCCACCAGCAGAACGAAGTCGCTGCAGCAGAAGGACACGTCCAAGACGCCGTATCGCGTCTACACGCGCTACAAGGTGCTGCAGTCGGGCGCCGCAGCAACTGTTGCAGGTGCAACAGCAACAGCAGGTGCAGCGCCAGCAGCAGCAGCAGCAGCTGCCACTACAACAGCAAATGCCAATGCAGCAACAGTTGCCGCTGCCGTTGCAGCAGCCGCTGCAGCAAGCACGCACATAATTGTCAACAGCAGCAACAGCAACATCAACAGCAGCAGCAGCAGCAGCAACAACAGCAACAACAGCAACAACATGATAAATGCCGACACGACAGCAACAACAACAACAGCAGCAACAGCTGCGACTGCAACTGCAACAGCTGCTGCTGCTGCTGCAACGCCGCAGCAACATTGCAACAGCGCCGCAGCAGCAGCTGCTGCTGCCACGGCGGGCAGCGCGGAGGCTGCGCTGCAGCAGGTGCGACCCATGGAAAGCTAACCGGCAGCCGTTGCAATAGCCAGCTGGTCGAGCGCTGCGTTCCTGTGAAGCAGCTGCCACGCCACATGAGCTTCACTGTATACAAAACAAAAACAAAAAATGAATTCAAATTTGTGATAGCAGTTCCTGGACACAGTTGCAGACCTGGCCTGGCTATTGGATTAAATTGCGTTTCGATAAATGGCAACAACAACAACAGCAACAACAGCAACAACAAGCTCTTTTTCACTTTGTACAAAAGTCATTTAAATTGTAGGCGTAGTATTGCTCCTAATAATAATAATAATAACAATAATTATAAATATTGTAAGCATACTACAACATCTTGAGTAGCGTTTAGTGTTTAGTTTAATGATAATGGCAGCGTTTCTAGTTGTTAAGCGATTTACACTCTCACACACACACACACACACACACACACTGACACTGACACACACACATATACCCTACAAGTTGTTGCAGTCGCTCCTCTAAAAAAAAAAAAAAACCAAAATATAAACAATTTCTGGAAACTGAAAACTTTTGTCGGACAGTGTAGTTCGTTCGTGCTAATTAAGTTGATATCAACGTCTGTTTAGCTTTTAAGGAATTTTATGAACACACAGAACTTTTAATTTTACATCAAATTTCACGTATTTTTATACATAAACAAAAAAAAAAAAAACATAAACCTTGTACAATTCCTTGTGAATACTATTGATTACACGCCTATTTTATAAGCTTAATTTAAGTTGTAAAAATCATATGAGCTAATTAAAAAACAAAAACTAAATATATCGAAAATGAAACATTACATTTACAAAATTGTGCTCAACTGGGTGGCAATTGGATGAAAAGTTATTCACAAAAACTGCAGCGGAAATCGCAAAAATCTCTGTAATTATTTAATTGACTTAACATTCGATCTGCCTGTAAATTTATATATATATGTATGTGTGTAAGAGATTACAAAGTGAAAAGTTCACACACGTTTAATTACTATCGGTTAGCAAGAGAGAGCGAGAGAGAGACATCTTTATACGCACATCACTAGCAAAGCAACGGTTAAAGTTGAAGCAGAAGAAAGGAAGCGAGTAATATGAAAGTAAGAAAAGTGAAAAAAAAGTGAATTACAGTGTTTTAGCAGCGATAAAATTGTATAATATATATGATTATAATGAATGTAAGTTTTATTGAATTTACAAACTCAGAAATTACTGCAAAAACTCAAATCATAACCTTTTATTGCAGTGCAGCTGGAATAGAACTTGGTCTGCTTGGGGTAAGCGAACATACATACATACAGACATTATTATACTGCGCTCAATGGCATGCAATACATACATACAAACGTATATATGTATATGTGTGCGTGCATACATATTTAAATGCGTAATTACATATCTGCCAGCCAACATTAAAGTATGCGTGTATGTATGCATGCTTGTATTTACATGTCGTTATGCATTATGCATATATATACATATATGCATGCATATACATACATATTTATATGCAAATGCAAAACAACTTGCATGCACAAATATGTAAATGCACGTATACATATATATACATATATATGTACCAGCCTATGGGCACTCATGAATTCAAAAATATGTAAATATGTACATAAATATGTATATGCATGCACAAATATGTAAATGGAATCATACATTGTTAAAAAATCATACCTGTATGTACGTATTTTTGTATATATCCATTAACATATTTAGGCATGCATTATGCATGTATAAATATATATATGTAACTACATACATAAATATATTCATGATAAATATGTATGTAAATACATGCAATCATGCATGTATGCATGTATTAATGTGTAAATGCATACACACATGCATGCATACATTATTGCATACATGCATGCATGTATAAATGTGTACATACATATATACATACATACATGCATACACACATGCATACATACATACATACATGCGTACATACATACATACATGCATGCATACATACATACACGCATACACACACGCACAAGCATGGGAACACTCACTTTCACAAGACGCACACAAACACACAACTGAAATAGCACTTGCAAGGCATGAAAACCAGCAGGACTTACTTGAATTTATGAGAATCGAGGAGGACAGCAGTAGAAAATAGACGTTAAATTCAAATTGCAGTGAAGCCGAAATTCAACATTTTTTACGTTTGCTTGCAAAACCACAGACATCTCGACTTATACATACGCATACACACACCCACATACATAAGCATGAGTGTATATACACATATATATATATACAAACACACACATACATTAACACATACATATTTATATTTATTAATTCTTATGCCTTGCGTTTATTATAATTTCTGCAATATATATACATTTATAGAGAGTTGCAAATATTAAAATAGTTTATATATTTTAAAACACACACGTAACATACATAAATTCTTGACAAATTAAAAAACTGATTCACTGAATCACTTATAAAAACAATAATTATAATAATCCTGGGATTATGTCGTGACAATCCGTAGTATTGTAAATATTGTATGAATATCACTTGTATATAAAATCGCGGCGCGTTATAATGCCAGCAATGCGATTTTCATTGTTGATAACCAACATGTGACGCAGACCCAGGGCTCGAAAGATATTGAAGATCTTGGGCACCGAATCATGCTGTAAAATGAAAAAAGATCCGATTAAATAGAGCATATGCTATTTAGAAGACAATTTCGAACCGTATTGACGCGCACTGGCGAGGGATTCATGAACATGGATAGATCTACGGTATAATTAATTTTTCTGTCCAATGGACGCACGCTCTAAGGAAAGAGTTACAAATAGATTAGATCCGAAACAGAAACAGAAAATATAACAATGTTGCGTACACTAATGGACGGATATCGCGGATAGACATCCCGGAATGTTTGTATCGATGTCTCCGGTATCCAGAATCGTTTGTTTTCCACGTACAGCGATTTGAGCAATATGACAATTAGCTGGGAGCGCAAAATGATGCCGCAAACGCGTCCCTCGGAGCGACGATCCTGCAGAGAACCCAAAGCAATTGATTAAAGAAAAGATTCAAGAATTTGAGTAAATGGTTACTTACGCCCACCACGTCATCGACCACGGGAAATCCATTGTGATTGCATTTCTGCAGCACCTCATAGATATAATGGGCGCTATCCACCAGCTTGATGCTGACCACGGGCTTGCTCAGAATTTCCTTGGCAGTTAGGCCTTTATATTGTGGCAGTGGCTCCCACGAGAGCATGGGCACATTGTTGACCTCGATGACAGTGTCATAGATGCCGTCGTTGAAGTAGTCGCCCACCCATTTGGCGGTGATCAGCGCTATGATGAGCGGAAAGAAGAATGACGTCTCGATGCCCGTCGTCTCCATCAGAATGACCGACAGGCTGATGGTCATGCGCAACACTCCGCCCAAATTGGCCGCGGCGCCAATGAGGGCGTATTTGCCAGGATGCAGAAAGAGCTGTGGATGGATAGAGGCAAATTGGTAAGATGAGACATAGAAAATGGCAAGCATAACACCTACCGCATTGGGAAATAAATAGAAGATCAGCATTGCCACGAGGCGACCCCAGGCAGCGCCCACCAACGCGGTGGGTATGAAGACGCCCAGCGAGACGTTGAGGCCAAAGGTGGCGCAGGATAAAAAGTAGTAGACGAGCGTGAACACCGCTAGCGTAAGGATCTTATGAGAGCCTGCAAAATAGAATAGTCATGAAACTGGAAAAGGTAACAACTGGCAGCAGCAACTCACCTGGCGGATCGTGGAAGAGCGCACGCACCGTGGCCTCGGGTGTTTGGAACCAGAGCGCAGCCACCGCATTGTATTCGTTATCCTCGCAAAACAGCTGCACGGGATGTATGGTCGGATCGTTGCCCAGAGGACGACAATCATCGATGAAATAGATCATGGTGCAGGCCAATGTGACGCCCATTATGGCAACCAGTACAGCCTCGCACACCTTGCCCACCTTCCAGGGCACATAACGCTTGCGAAACTTGTTGATCAGCGTGTTCAGGGAGTTCCAAGCGGCGCCCAGCAGACCGCCCGTCACGCCCAGCAGCATGAAGAGCGGCAGCTCGAAGTATTCAAAGGTTAGCGGCTGATCGAATTTGCCCAAATTGAAGAGACCCGTAAATGTGAAATCGTGCAGGCCGTGATAGGCAGACAGCACAATATTGAGCGTAAACGAACTGATGATGGACGCAATTAGGGTGCGCCAAATGAGATTCTGATTCCAGAAGCTGGCGGCCTCCTCCAGTGAGAAGAGCATGCCGCCGATGGGCGCACCGAATGCAGCCGAGACGCCAGCTGCTGCGCCGCCCAAGACAAAGTCGCGTTTCTCGTGATCATCGCGAAAGGCCTTGAAGATGCGAAAGTCCTTGACAAACGTTGTGCTCTTGCCCTGTGATATGCCCGCGGCGACAACGGCGCCAGCATGTATCATCGGTCCCTCTTTGCCGCCAGCCAAACCGCCCACCACGGACGTGATCACGCCGACGGCCTTCACGGCCAGCGTCTTGATGCGTACAATGCGCGGCACCTTGACGCCGTTCAGATAGCTCTTCACCTGGGGTATGCCGCTGCCCGCGGTAATGGGCTCTATGTAGGTGACCATGCCAGCACCAATGGCCACCGGCACAACGCTGAAGAGTAGCCACCAGAAAAAGGGCAGCGCCAGATCGCCCGTGCTCTCGTTAACAGGCACATTGTGGTCCACAGCTGTGGGCGAGAGTTTATTAATGCCTTTGTGACGACCATTAGGAGCCTTACCTACATGATTTGAGAAATTTGTACTTCAGCTCCGAGAGCTCCTCGATGACTATGTCGATGGTGCAGGCTATCAGTGCAGTTACAATGCCTATGAGTATGAATATGATCCAGCGTATCACATGGATGCGCAGCGAGAAGCGATCCCTCAGACGTTTGCGCTGCTCGGCCTGAAAAAGCGCATTCTCGCACACATCATAGTCCAGACTCTTACAAGAAGATTAGATTATTATCAGATGTATATATGTATGTGTGTGTGTGTGTGTAAATACCTCATATTGGGTTTGGGTTTGCTGTGCAGTTCCAGCCAAAGCGGCTGCTGTGCGCGAGCGTACATGGAATATGGGTTCGGAATTCGCTGTGATGCTTGCGGTGCCCGCATTGCTGCCGCTGCTGCCCTCCTATAATCAATGACTACATAGTTAGTGGGCACTTCCTCTGTGTGTGTGTGTGTGTGTGTGTGTGTGCATGTGTGTGAACGCATTTTAGTTGCGATAATTTGCAGCTGTTGTGTGATTCATGCACGTCGCAGCGTAGTTGCGAAAACATGTTGGCAACATTTACTCACATAGACGGGCTCAGGTTCTATGCTCAATAAGGGCGACACGTCATTATTATTTGTTTGGGTAATCCCCGTTCCAAAAATTGCCTGGCTTCGGCTGGTGGAGGATTGCTCTTTGGCAGTCGCGTAAGGTAAACTCTTCGGTGCCCCGAGAGTTTTAATTTCATCTTCATCGCTGGATAGATCGTCCTCACCATATACAAGTTGCTTTTCGTCATCCATAATTAAAAACAATTAAACAACTTTAACACACAACAAAAGACATAATAAAAAAGAAATAGGTCGCAACTAGTTGTCCACGGACAAGTAACATCGATAACAAACAGAATGCAGCAGAATCGCCGAATGCGCGTGCCTATCGATAACTTTTTACTTATACTCGATTATAGTATTTATTGCTCTTTGAGAAAATACCAAAAATTACGTTATTTTAGTAAGTGGCAACAGGTGCCGGTTTTATTGTGTAGCTTCAAAGTTGAAATTAGGATGCAAAAACTTAAATTTAGCCATGTCGAGTAGCAGGCGTTTGCGCTCAATTTGATTGCGCGCCTGCAGCTCATCCTTAATATCGGCTAATGTGTTATCAATGCGCATTAGAATCTCACGCGGCGGCCCATTAACAAATGCAGCCAGTTCCTGTGTGCGCGTTATGCCGACTTGTATATTCTGCACCGACTGGGTAAATACGCTCTGTTCCATGTCATCACTTTGCATTGAAGAGGTTCTACTAAGATCTATGGCCTCCGGCTGCTCGACAAGCATTTGCTGCTGTTGCTCCGGCTTGATCAGATTGAATGGCAGCATACGCGGTATGCCGACCATGGCGGGCAAATCAATTGCATTCCCATTGACGCCTACAGCCGAATTGGACTCGAATGTGCTTACCATGCCTGGGCTCAGATTCGTTAGCTACAATGGATCATAGTTGGATAGAGGTCAGATTTAAATACGCATCTCCAATTCACTTACATTGTGCTCATCCTGACAATGATTATTACTAAATGTAGCAGCATTATTATTGTTGTTGCTGTCGTTGTTATTGCTGTCCTGCTTTGAGGCCGTAACGGACACTTTGTCCGAGCTAAGGCTATTATTATCCATCGAAGTGTCGCTTATGGAAATTGACTGGGAAAGAGAGGCGGGAAGAATGCATAAACACACCGAATACATGCATACAAACACATACATAAACATTTCAATGTCCATTCAATTCTCTGTTGCAGCAGATACATACAAATGTAAGCACATACACACATGCGTGCATTCGTTGGGAATTCTTTTTCGCACACTTGTGCATTAGCCTGTATGTATGTGTGAACTTATAACGGTGCATGGCATGCCTTAACATAGTGATCTCGCTCTCGCTTCACGCCACTTACACAAATGGACAAAGACAACACGTTTTTTTTTTGTCGGTTTCTTACTGTTCGTATGGCCGCTGCTTCTTCCTGTTCGTGATGTTCTTGTTTGTGCCTTTGAAATACCGTTTTGATTTTCAGCTCGTGCGTCTCTGTGCTCTTTGGCACTTCCATGGACGAAGCGGCGGCAACTGCAGCTAACGCTGAAATTGTGACCGACGACGTGGATTTTTTGCGACATTTGGCAATGCGTCTGTTTTTCATAATGCGATCCCGTCGTTCCACCAACGCTGCAACTTTCATTTCATGCAGTTTGCCCAGCAAAGATGCATGTCGCCGCTGTCAGGGATTTGAAATTAAAATGTCGTCTCTTTTTTGCTTGACCGGATAATTAGCTAATTCGTGTATCTCACGTGCAACAACGGCCTACCTTGATGTGCATATGAAAATTTCCAGTGGACCGCACGCTGCCCCGATAAATTCGATCCGGTGGACAATAACAGCACTTGACGGTCACATTGTCGCCAATCTGGCTTTCGATGCGATAGAGCTCACCATTCAGTATGTAGGGTACGTGCTGGCGACGTTCTGGATCGGTCTTCACATCACCTAGATCCGATTCTTGGTCCTCGTCTAGGTCAGGTTGCTCCGCTTTCGGCATTGCATATACAAATTTAGCATTTAATCTGGCGAAAAAAGCGATCCGTCGCCCGCGAACTATCGAATTAAATTGAACTTTTTCTATCCGAGTTCTGTAGGTGAGTGCTAAAAGGGAAATGAAAAATCTCCGAAATTAGATACATACGCACATGCATCTGTGAGTACAAATTGCTGCTAAAGAGGAACTCAGAATAATGTCAGAATTAGAGCAAAGCGCATTATACAAATATGTAGCTTTGACAGGGCATGTCACGACTTGCATTAGTCATTGCATTAAAATTAAAAGCCTCAATTGCTTTACTAATAATAATTAGTTGTAGTTCAATTAGAGCATGTATGTGTTAACAACAGACTTTAAAATTAACTGAATAAGGATAAACTGACAACTAAATAAGTTAGTAAGTTGTTCAAATGCTCAAGTTCTGGCGCTTAGCTGTTCATCAACTGAACACGAATTAAAATGTTATCGATATATTTGCCTATCGGTGTGCTGTAGCCCTGGTTGACTCACGTTGTTTCTTGTTTTTGGCTCAAACAAGCTGAAGATGACGGAAATAAGCAAACCAAATATATTAATTACCGGTATGCATTACTTAAATTAATATATTTAAGCTACATAAAAAGAAGTTACATCATCTCAGGCACACCTGGCGCCGGCAAATCGTATTTGTGCGAGCGTTTGGCCACACAATTGAAATTCAACTGGCTGGATTGCTCGAAAATTGCAAAGGAAAACAATTTCATTGAGGAATATGACAAGGAATACGATTGCCCCATACTCGATGAGGATAAGGTATGTCGTATCTACTGCGTTATGCGTGTGCCTGTCATTGTTAGACCTTGCTATAGCTCATGGACTATCTGGAGCCGCTGATGGCCAAGGGCGGCAACATTGTCGAATACCATGGCTGTGATTTCTTTCCGGAGCGCTGGTTCCAGGCCGTCTTCGTTGTCAAATGCCCCAACGAGACGCTCTACGACAGACTCAAGGAGCGCAACTACAACGAGAAGAAGCTCACATCTAATATACAATGCGAAATATTCGGCACAATATTGGAGGAAGCACGCGAATCGTATAAGAAGGATATCATTTACGAGTTGAGCGGCGAGACCAAGGCGGATGCTCAAAATAGCCTAAAAACAGTTAAAAATTGGTACAGCATGTGGAAGCGCAAGTAAAAACCAGACTACAAATATCAACAAACTACTTAACTGAATGCTGAGGGTGGCATAGCTTTAACAGGGAGACAGCTCCGAGTCTATAAAGTAGATATGATCTGTCAACAAGCAAGTCGATTTAGTTATCTTAATTAGTCTCACTTCACCTAAAGAACTTTCTATCTTTCTATCTAAATGCTGTTAGCAACTGTCAGTTAAAACCTGAGTGCTTATTTTTCTGAATCTTCAGATATTCTTACGAATCTTATACAAAGATTGGTTATTTCAAACCTCAGACAATAGGAATGTATCTAAGCCAATAGGGCTTAGCAGCTGTCATAGGAACAATCAGCCTAATCAGCCTTGCTATAAGAATGCCAGGGCATTTAATATATATATTTAAAAGGTATAATATGCTTAATGTACAAACACTTAGAGCTAATAACTACAGCTAAATGCGCGTCATTTTGAAACGCAGCGGACCATCCGGCGCATACATGAAGGTAACCGCGTAGTCCAGCGGCGCATGATTGTACTCCAGCCTATAGTTGCGCAGCAGCTTGGCCAGCAGTATTTGCATTTCCAGATCGGCAAAGCGCCGTCCCAGGCACATGCGTGCACCGTAGCCGTAGGGCAATGAGGCAAACGGATGCAGTTTGCCGGGCGTGCCGCCCTGATGTGCCTTCAACCAGCGCTCGGGCCGGAACGTAGCGGCATCTGTGACATATTCCTCCATGTTGCCAGTGACAATAGTGGGAAAGACGGCCTGCCAGAAGAATTCCAAATAGTTTTATACAAAATAAAATGGAACATATAATGAGAGCATTTACGGACCTGCACTCCCTTGGGCACCTGGTAGCCGCATATTACGCTGTCCTCTTGGAGCGTGCGTCCGTTGCCGATGACGGTGCTGTACATGCGGAAGACCTCCTTGATGAATGCCTTCAAGTGGTGCATTTGGTCCAGCAATGGAATCGTCAGCGGTGTGTTGGCGTCAGGCAGCAGACGCTTCAGTTCTTCGTGCACCTTCTGCTGTTCCACGGGCCGCGTGGCCAGTTGATAGAGTATGGAGCACACGGCCATCGAGATCTGTAGCAGGGAATACGGCTCAGTTTGCAGGCCAGACAGGACTTGGACTGGCGCTTACCGTGTCTATGCCAACGAGTATCAAATCCAATGCCATAATGGTGGCTATTTTCTCATCCTTCTCCGACATAATCACCTTCTCCAGCAGCGATGGCTCGCCGGCACGATGACTGACATCCTGTGTCTTCAAGCGCTCCGTTGCGCTTTGTATGTACTTCATGCACACGCTGCTCAAGGTGGTTAATTGGGATTCAAAAATAGTTGCTGAGCTTGAACTGTCAATCGACTTACCCCACGAAGAAGTTCATGTTCTTCACATAACGCGTCCAGAGGGGCGTGGGAAAGTAGCGCCAGTATGGCGCCTTCAGCTCCAGCGTGGCCACATTGCGCAGCGCGTACTTGGCTGCATCGATGATCTGCTGCGGCTCCGAGTCGGGCGTCAGATTGTGCTCCAGGCAGCCCAGACGTGTGTCCAGCGCCACGCGACCAATGCCTGCAGTTGGAGCGATATTTGGGAACGGCCAAAATGCTTGTACTATATAGGCTACTCACACTCCAGGGACCATTTGTGTATTTCATTATCGAAATCGGCGGGCAGCTCCTCGTTGGCATCCAGCAGCTGCTCACAGCGTGCCAGAAAATCCTCAGTTATCAGCTCCAGCGGCTGCAGATAGCGTCTTATGGTGGACAGCTGCAGCACCGGCTTCTGGACGCGCGAACGGAACTGACGCCACGGTTCGCCATGCCTGCAACAATGTGAGTCCATGGATTAATTATGCATATAGTTATATATTTACATATATATATATGTATCTGTCTAGACTTACACGCCGACAACGCCGCCAAGTTCGCCAAAGAAATCCTTGCGCACCACGCTCTTGTACTTGACCAGACTGGGCATCGATGGCCGGAAGGGGGTGGGTCCCTCGCTGCGATAGCACTGCAATCAGATACTCTTTATACAATATTTCGCTGTACTTGTTAAGACACTGAAAATGTGTTTGGCGCAATTTGCGACTTGTGCTGCTTTGTTGCCTCGGCACTGGCCAGTCGAGCGTGACTCCAAGTGGAATTAACGCGATGTTCCGGTGTTTGACTTGTCTCCTTACCTTTTCAATTTCGTCGGCATCGTAGATGAACAGCAGATCGGGCCTGCCTATAAGGCCAGAGAAGCGCACAATACGCCCGTATCTGTCGTGCAGCAGCGACGAGATTTTGGCCACATCCGATATGGTATATTGGCCAATGATTGGCATGAGGCTGTCAAGGTGAATGCAAACTAATTTAAATGACAAACTGACATTGCCCAATTTTAATTTGACTATTTGCAGAGCAATTGTGGAACCTTGCGACTATTTAAGAGCAATAATTGTCCATAATGCAAAATGTAAGATTTAACTAATTCCAATGACAACCTTTTGCATGAGCGTAAAAACTATGTCATTAACATGTCTAGCTTGATGATATATTGGGTGCATTTGCGAGAAAAGGAGAGAATTATGTAAAGATCGTGCTGGGTTTTTTATGAAGTAGATGCTATCATAAACTAGTCGATCTTATCTTATAATTATATGTGACAGTGGGATGGAAGGGAAACTGCTGGACAATCTCCTGTCGAATTGACAAAATAGTAAGCTTAAAGTTAAAGATCACAATTATTTCATAAAATATACTCTGTACTAAATGTATTGCAGTTGAGCAAGTAAGCAGCTTGTCCGTGTCGCTATTTCAAGGACCTGTCGGATTTATCTCAAATTGGATTCCAACAATCTTTCCGCATGTCGCAGCTTTAACTGGTTGCGAATTGCAAGGTAACGAGACAAACAAAGCGAACGGAGTTCATTTTCTGTGTGTATTTACCCTGTTACCCTGCATCAACTGTGTTGTTGGTTGATTAATATTTATTTTAAACATTACTAACACGAGCTCGAGCCAACGAAATACTAGTATATGGAGTTAGGTTTGGTTAGGCTTAGATTAGGCAGACGGTCAAACTGGAGGTTAAAATCTTCTAAAAGCTTAAGCTTAAACTTGGAGTAGTTAAATAAATTGTGGGAAAGCGTATTTAGTGGGCGGTAATAGTACTTTACGAAATTTAAACCACATTTAAAGACAGATAATCAAGTTTTCAATATTATTGTTGGACTAATTTGAGCAGAAATTAAATGTCAGTTTAATAGAAAAACTGTCAGAATAGTTTAACAGTTTTAGGTTATCGATATATTCGAGTTAAATTATCGATTTGAATGTCAAGTGTAAAATGCAATTATCGATTACTTAACGCTTCTTCAAATTGCAGTTTTTTTTTTTTGCCAATGCACACACACACACACACACACACACGCACACAATGAACATTCGCACTTGTGTATAAGTAAATAGCTCTCAGGTAACTATTGTTTGTTTATCATTTTCAGGCTGCATCGAAAAGTTCACACATTTTGGCGACCTTGAAACTGGCGCTAATTGAACGCTAATCAAGAAGAAGCCGACGGCGGATGACTGGGCAAGTGCCCAAAACCAAAGGGGAAGCTAACCAGATGCGATGCCCCTGTTATACCACCAACAGCGATTGGTAAGTAGCTGTAAATTGAAAAAAAAAAAAATGAAAAAAATATCGACAAGAATTCGCATAGCGATTTGTGTGTGGCATAATTTGGGCGCAGCATTAGTGTAGTGGGGCGAGGGGAGTGGAAACCCGTTTGGTCATGGTCAGTGAAATGATGAATGCTTTTACAAGCAAAAATCAACACTCGAAATGAGATGATCATCAAGTGGCCACACACACACACACATGCACTCTCACACACGCGCACACATACACGCGCTACACATTCCATTCAACGGTAATTGGGTCAAGAGAAGCAAGCGAAATAAAAGAAAACATAACTGCAAACTCTCTCTTCGCTTCTATTTGCTCTCTCTTTGTCTCTTATTAAAGTGCATTGCATTAATCGCATTGCAGGGCATGAAAAGTGAAAGCCAGTTTGTCGCCTAAGTCATTTGCCTGTTTTTTTTTCCCCCCTTTCGTCTTTTCCTCTTTTGTCTTCCACTTTCAACTGCATACACACCGCCAAGTATTGCCAAGTATGGGCATGGGCTTTGGTCCTGGTATCTCGTTGTAGGCCAATGCATTTTGCCACTCGGCCGTGCCATGGATGCGTGCCACCGCTGGCTCCTGCTCCAGGCTCAAGTGTGGACAAACAGCAGCAGTCTCTGCCGCTGCCGCTGCTGCTGCTGCTTCCGTTGCGGCCGCTGCCGAATTGTCGCGCTGCTGCTGCCCATCCAGGCGACGCTGTCGCTGCTCGCTCTGCAACAGCTGCGCCTGAGCGCCAGCCATCTTGGATACAGTGCGTCGGAAGCCTGTGCCTTTGGCATGCCAAGCGCATTTCGGCAGTTGATTCATGGCGTACGTGCTATTAAAAGCTTTGACGAATCCAAATTCAAATTCAAATCAGATTTCACTCGTTTGTCGTTGATTGTTGATTTCGAGTTGCTCAATGCCTTCTTTGTCTGCGACGCACACACGAAACTATTAAAAGCTGCACATGCGCTGCGCGAGAATAACAAGAATTACTTTGCGTCTGAGACACACACGCACTAACACACACACACACACACACGCACACACATGCACAAATGCCAACTGTCGTTTATTTTGCTGCGCACTCGACGGCTGCCCGATGTAAACTGGTTAAAAGCTAAGCTCAACGGGCTTGGGCATCCGTCTTCTCTGCGCTCTCGACAACGGGTTGGCCAACGGGGCGGGCAACGGGGCGGGTCGCGTCAGCTGCTTTCTAATGAGTGTTGCTGTTGACGCGCACAAGCGTCGGCAACATTATCGCCCCGTCAATGTTTCAGCAACATTTCGACAGCTGCCATATAAACATTTATGTTTATATACATGCTGTTGCTGGTCACAATATTGGCACATGCTATTGGTTATTCCCAAATTCTAATTGGAACTAACTAATACGGCCTTGACTGACAGACTTTAGAATAAATATTCTATATTATTTGTAAACATTATCAAGGCTAAACAGCTATAAAAACTTTGAAGCAGCGCTTCCTTATCTTGGCAAATTATACCAAATATCACACTAAATATATCAACTTCACCAGCGTACATCTTACATATGTTAACTTTGTTTCTGCTTCAAAAGGTTCGCAATAATCAATTTATTTATTAGATAATTAACAGCTTTTTTTTGCAGCAGCAGCAGCAGCTGTATGAGACGGAGGTTTTGCTGTTCTCCCTTGAAAGTCTAAACCAGAATCATAATTAATTACACTGCGAAAAAAAAGAACTTGGACCAGGCTAAAGTGAAGCTCTGTTCAAATCCCAGTATTTTTGTGGAATCATGACTAGGACATTTCTCTTTACCCAGCGGAATTTCCCACATTCATTTAAAAAGGTTCGCAATAATCAATTTATTTTTTATATAATTAACAGTTTTTTTTTGCAGCAAAAGCAGAGGCAATATTATATGAAGGTTTTGTTAAAAATGCTGGCAAACATTGACAAGGCTGAAGGCTGAGAACGGAACAGAAAAATCCCAGTATTTCTTGTATGTCGTCATGCATGACTAGGCTTAAGGAGATGGCACTTAGCGGAACTTCTCACATGCATGTGTTTAATAAAAAGGTGTGAAATAATTAATTAATTATAATATAATTAAAAGTTTTCCTTTTTTGCAGCATTAGCAGCTATATGAGATGCAGGTTCGAACGAGAACGAGAAAAATCCCAATATTTTGTATGAGGTATCCTTCGGCTTAAGGAAACGTCGATTGGAAAGGAAAGGATTGTAAAAAAAAAACAATAGCATATGCCAAACAAATAATCTGCAGTAATGTTTGTTTACTAAATGATATGTAGCTATATTATAAGTAAATCAGATTTAATTTAGTCTAGTTGCGGCAGCCGCTCAGCCGGAACCAACAATGTACAAATGCCTAAAAGCATCGCAAATTTATTGAATTCATGTCATTTATAATTGTTTTGATGCAATTTTCAAAATCAACGAACCTTAACTTATTAATAGCCATACCATATGTATGCTATTTATGTATTATTAATAGCCCTGCCCGCATGTATTCTATTTAAATATCCATTATAATATGCGAGGATATCATTAGTGAGCGAGCGATGAAGCCGGCAACTGTGCGTTTGTTAATCGTGGCAGCGTTTCTGGTGCTGGCACCGGTCATTGGCCGAAAATCGAAATCCCGATTCACAAATCTGAAGTGCGAGTCCTATGATCGCAGTTTCTCGATATTCAAGAAGTGCAAGCTCAATGTGCTCGGCCGGGGCGTGGTCGCCGTCGATATAAACATAAATCTGCTAAAACTTCCGATATATAATGTACACGTGAGTGTTACTTTACTTATCTTTGTATACAAATAAAAGTCTTTGTCCTAACTGCATCACACGGACTGATTCTTATCCGAAAGCATCCCTTTCAGGGGTATCAACTGGCCAAAGGACATTCAAAGTATATATTTCGAGATATTTCCTTTTCTACCTAACTGAAAATGCACAAGTCCTGGATTCTTAGATGACCCCATAATATTTTGATGCAGATCGATGCAGTTGCTCCTTGCGAGCCTAACGAATCAAGTCCTTTGAAAATCTGCAAGGATATGGCCGAGTTATAGCTATTTTCCTTTAATTTTAACAATCACAAAATCGGCCATAAGTCACTCATTTTAAATACTATCCTGATGTCCTTTGGACCACAGATAGTCCTTGTTCCGACAATTCAAAATATATAATGATTAGGACGAAAGTCCTTCAGGGAGCTAAGATAAAAGGATATTTAATTCGCAACTTAAATAGCTTATAGCTCGACCGTATCCTTGCGGATCCTGGAGAGTCCTGTGGCAAACAATTCGTATTGACCAGGACTACAAACTGGCCAAAGGACATCGAAATCGTCCTTGTAGTTTCCAAGATATGGCTACTTTTCTAAAAAGGACATTCTATTTATGGTCATATCCTGGCCAAATCCTTAAGGATATCGGAAGGATATACCTTTTTGAAATCGTGGGAAGCAGTACTATCGATTGGCATTCAAGGATTTCCAGGATTCGACAAAAAATTTCGTCTCATTTTTTCCTAGGGGGTTAGTCACAAAAATGGCCCAAAACGCCAAAAATGGGGTCTAACTTCGCCATTTCAAGGGCTATCGGGATGTCCTTTGGCCAGTAGAATGTCCTTGTGGCCCAGATTAAGAATTTACCACCCAAAGGACGAAAGTCCTTCAAACAGCTGAGAAAAAAGGACAAATTTGCCTATAAAAAACAGCTCATAACTCGGCTGTATCCTTGCGTATCCTGTCAAGTTATGTGTCAAACAAATTGTACTGACCAGGGCTACCAACTGGCCAAAGGACATCAAAATCATCCTAGTAGTTTTAGAGATATCGACGATTTTGTGTTTAGGGCCTTTTTCCTTGCAATTCGCGACGGAAATTGCACAAGTCCAGGATTCTTAGATGACCCCATAATTTTTTGATGCAGATCGATGCGGTTGGTCTCTGCGAGCCTAACGAACCAAGTTATTTGAAAATCTGCAAGGATATGGCTGAGTTATTGCTATTTTTCTAAAATTTCATTAAAAACTAAATAAGCTATAACTTGGCCATTTTAAGGACTATCCTGATGTCCTTTGGCCAACAGATATTGCTTGTCCTGCCTGTTCAGAATATGCAGTGAAAAGGACGAAAATCCTTCAAGGAGCCGTGTTCATAAAATTGACTATAGCTCGGCCGTATCCTTGCGGATCCTGCCGAGTCCTGTGCCAAACAATTTGTATTGACCAGGACTACCAACTGGCCAAAGGACATCAAAATCGTCCTTGTAGTTTAGGAGATTGTTTTTTGGCCGTTGGCCTCTCGATTTGCACAAATTTTCAGCTGAAGTACCAGGCGAACAGAAATCAGCAGTAGGTAGACAAAATTCTGCGACTTAAAAATTTTATTGCATACGCTGGGGGGCAAAATGGTCCGTTAAATTTAAATGAGGTTTTAAATAATTTGTGTAACGGCCAAACAAAAACGCATGTTATTTTCTTTTAAAAAATGACTCATTTATTCAAGAATAGGGTTTTTTAAGCAGGTTTTTTTCTTCTTTTATGCAGATCAACTGGAGCATATGGCGTCGCTATAATACCTACCAACCGTTTCTGCATAATGCCAGCTGTGATTTCTGCCATTTGCTGTCACATCCGAACAAGATCGCATTCGAGTCACTTGTGCTGAAAGCCATTCAGACGAGAGCGAATATAAATCACACTTGTCCCTACAATGTAAGTTATATGCTGGGATATAGGAAAGTTATCTCTGAACATATATTTACTATTATTTGTAGCACGATGTCATTGTGGATAATTTGGTGTTCACCGACGCATTCCTGCAATCGCTGCCACTGCCCCAAGGCGATTATAAGATACAATTGCGATTTGCTACGGACAAAACATGGAGACTAATGGTGGAAGTATTCATCTTGCGAGATGAATAGAACAATTGAATTAAACGAATAAATATGGTATTTGACAATTTTATACAATGTGTTCCATATTTTAGTTTTGATTTTTACAAAATTTGGTATCAAATAAAATGCATACACAAATTTTTGGAAATATATTATTCTGTGCATTTAGTTTTTTTTCTTTAAATTTGAATTCAATTTGAGATTATTGTGCTTAGCAATATGATAAAAATTTCCGAAAAATTTCGTTCAACTGCCTGACAATAAATAGATGAAAAAGAGAAAACAAACACTTTTAGGCATAGAATTTTGAACACATCAAAACGCGATACAAAAGAGTCGGAATTCTCAAAGATATCATTACATATATATATATATATATATATATATAGTATGTATGCATACTCGTATAGTTTAGTTAAATATGTAAATGCTTTGCTGGCTTTACTAATTCGATTACAGTCTAGAATCATTCGTCATATTATGTACGGGACTTAAGTTAGGCATAACAAATTAAAAGGAAAATTACAGAAAATGAAATGGCACGATACAAAGTTTCGTAAGCTACACAAGTCGAATGTTTTGTGGTATTTTTAGTTTTGTTTTGTTTTGATTTAGTTACTAGAATAATGTGTTGTAAGATATACGAGATGAGACTTGGCTTAGATGCTTGGATGATGGCTTAAACTACGCGTTCATTGTATGTATGTATCTTTATGTTTAGGTTATATAGTATGTGAATATGTGAATAAATATGCCACTGGCTGTGAGACAGAGAGTTCTTTCACACAAATCGCTTTAAAATTAACTAGGCTAGCATATATATATATGTATATATATATGAATATACGTATATATAATTATATGTATATGGCGTCGTTGGTATTTACAGTTCTAATCGCTCGTGTAACTTAAAGCTTAACTAGAAACTAAATTATGAAATCAAAATGCGAAATGCAAACTAAACATCAACTAAAGACAAAAAAACAATTAACATTCCGATATTTGTTGTTGTTTGACCCGGCTAAAAAATACTTTTGGCCTGCTTCGGTGTTAACACTCGAACTCGTTGGCCGTGATGGCGCTTAGATCCTTCATGAGACCCTCCAGATTGGCCATCTCTTGGTTCAGCTCCTCGGTGGATGTGCTGGGCGCCAGTCTTTGTATCTCATCGGTGGAATGCGCCACGGAGCCGCCGCCCTGCAACCGATTGGGTGTGGCTGCCGAAAAGGAGGGCTTCTTGTAGGGCGATTGATTTTGTGGACGTATTGTGACAGCAGGAGCTGCAATGGATAGAGATTAGATGCACTCTCTTTGGCATTGCTGCTGTCGCCTGGCTACTTACTGTGCTTGTTCATGGTCGTGGCAGCTCCAGTGGGCGGCGGGCCCGGCACACTGAAACTCTTGAGCGGATGTCCACGCTTAGCGCTCTCAATGGTGGAGACGCAGCCATTGCCAGGAGCGCTCGGATTGCTCGCGGTGCCGCCCGTGTAGCCAGCATTGCTGCTCGTGGAGGATTGGGATGAAATCAAAGAAGAAGAGGAAGATTAGGTATGAGGGATCAATCAATAAGTTGTTGTATTTTTCATGTGGAAAGTGACAAGTCAAGCAAACAAAATGGAACGACAATAAAAACTTGAAACTTGAACTAGGACGGCTTCGCGGGCCGGCGGCAATTGTTGCCCAGAAAATGGAGCACGCGCGCCTGCTGTATCTGTTGCGCCTTGCGGGCCAGCCGTATGTACGGCTGACGATCGGCCATGCTCATGATGCGCCAGGCGTGCGTGGCCACTTCGGTGACCGTCGCCGAGGTGCGCATCGTGTAGACGCCTTTCAGCTGATGATTGATTAGTATCTCGTCCAGCCGAAACTTGTTCAGGAAATTGAGAAACGGCGATGGTGACGCCATCAACAGCAGCTGCTGTTCCACATAACCCGGCAGCGTTCTATGGTCCAGCTGGAGCACACGATCAGCGGGACCCTGCACCAAATCGACCTGAACACTGGGATCGATGCGTCCCCAACGCGTTCGATTGCACATTTTTCTTCATATATATGTTTTCTTCTTTTTTTTTTTTACTGCTTTTTGGCTGTGGGAAATTCGAATTTCGCTTGGAAGTTGGAGTTTCTGTGGCCAAAGGCACAAAATATTAAACAAATCCGGATTAAATTTTGGTAAAACGTATCGAAATATGAGACTGAAAATGTCCCGCCTACTGCAGTTCCACAAATGCGGGAAAAAAACATCGAGATATTTTGAAGCAGACCAGAGGGAATGGAATATGGAATTGTGGGTCGAATCGGAAGAAGATTGTGGATAGAGCATAAAGCTTTTGTTTATGCATACAAATCAATGAGATTAGGATTGGGGTAGCCCGACCTTTTCCTCTTGCAGAGCTTAACTAAAGCTTTCTAGAGGAAGCTTCGAACCGTCTGAAATGGAACTGGAACTGCCAGCAAATGAGTCAGGCAAGCGTTGTTTACTTAAGGATGGACGGAAGACAGGGTACAAAGCCGCATTTACAGGTAAGAGATTGCTTAAAGAATTTAGAAATCCTGCGCAGATTCTTGAGCAGATTTCGACATTTGTTCACGCACTCACCAGAAGTTGGCGTCGTAGCCACCGTAGGGATGCTCCGGCGTCTGGGCCAGCGAATTGTTCTGCGGCTGTGTGAGGCTCTGCTGCGAGAGGCCCGTGTCCATGGTCATGTGCGAGCGATTCTGATGATTGTATTGGGTGCGCGGATATTGCGGTCGCTCCATGGTCGAGTTCATCGAGGTGGCTGCTGGTTAGAAAAGAATAACGCAAAGAATTAGCTATGTGTGCCAAGAATGGACTCGTTTCGACTCGACTCACTCATGTAGCCGGCCACATAGGCGCGTTTATCCAGCGAGTTGGTGACATGACCCGGCACCGGGGTGTCCACCTCGTATTCGCTGTGGACCACCGAGCGCGGCAGGGTGAGGGCTCCGCTGCTGGAGGCGTTGTCGCTGCAAACAGGCGTGGCACTGTGCAGGCCCTTGTCAATGTTCTTTAGCTCCATCTGGTCGTGATGGATCCACAGATCCGGTGGCTTCGGCACACCCACATTGTTCTTTTGATAGCTGTGGAAAAAAAACAAAATGAAATTAATAAACATAAAACTCGACTGGAAGCATGATTGGTGCTCACCTCTTCTTGGTGTGTTCTGGCGAGGATTGCGGCTTGCGCCGGCAGAAGAGCAGCAGACCGAGCAGCAGCAGAAACAGCACCAGGACCGTGCTGCCAATGATGATGTACAATAGATTTTGATTATCGATGCCCTTGGCAATGGTGTCCGCCTCCTGCATGATGACGGCCGCGCTGGTGGTGAACGCCGTCAGCGCGGAGAAGGGCGCATTGTTGCCGCCCTTGGTGGTGCGTGCCTGCACCTTGAAGTAGTAGGTGGTGTAGGGCTTCAGGTTGGGCAGCATCAGCATTGTCTCCTCGCCGGCGAACGCCTCGATGGCCCAGTCCCGATCCCGTTTCGTGGTGTCTGTCGTATAGTAGATATTATAGCCGGTGATCTGGCCAACTGTGTGCTTGGGCGGCAGCCACTGGACGATCACATTGTGCGGATTCTGCTCGTCCAGGCGCACGGTCAGCTCGCGCGGCGGCGTCACCGGCACATTCTGAAATGTGCTGTTCAGCACCGACATGGACCACGCGGACTCCCGTCGCCCCTTGACCACCTTCACAGCGAACTCGTACTGCGTGCTCGGACGCAGATCGTTGATCATGCAGTTCAGGTCGCTGGTGTTGTGGTAGCGATAGCGATTGGAGCCCGTGATGCTGTAGCTGACCGTGTAGTGGCGATTGTCGGTCACGTGCTGGTTCTTGTTGAGCATCGTATCGATCCAGTAGACGACAATCGAGGAGCTCGACATGGTTATGGCGCGCAGCCCGACGGGTACCTCTAGCGGCACGGGCACATCCAGCGGCTCCTCGTCCCGTGTCTTGATGTTGTCGTAGATGGGCGGGCCGTCGCCTTTCACATTGCGTGCGCGCAGCGATACTACGTACTCCATGTTCGACTCGAGGTTCTTGAGCACATGGTAGCGCTCAGTTTCCTTCAGCTCGATGGTGTTCTCGTCGGGTATGCCGCGTCCCCAGCCCAGCACATAGCTGCGTATCTTGATCTCCGGCTGCTGCGGTGGACCCCAGTGCAGTCCAATATTGTCAGCGCCCGGCTGTATGTTGATCCAGATGGGCTTGCCCGGCACCTGTGTCTCATCCAGATCGTTCTCCAGCGTGTTCGCGCGATACCATTCGGTGAATGGGCCCGATCCGTTGACGGTCATCGCCGCAATCTTCACTTGGTACTCGGCGTTGCGGTCCAGACCGTTTAGCTCAAAGTAGCGTATGTTGGCGGGCGTGCTCTTCGCCTGGGGCGCATCCTTAAACTTGCGATAGCGTATCTTATAGCCGGTTATCTGGCCATTGCAATCCTCCTCAGCTGGCGGCTCCCAGTGCACAGTTATCGACTGGAAAAAGGAGATTAATAATTGGTTTGGACTGGGCTGAGTGAATGTTGATACTCACGCTTGAACTGGTCACCTCGAGAGTGACATTATTTGGCGGTTCCGAGGGCGTTGAGGAGAAGGTCCTCACCTTCAGCTCGGCGGAGGAATCGCCCATGCCGTTGCGATTGAACGGTACCACGCTGATCACATAGTCCGTATAGGGACGCAGATCGGTGAGCAGCAGCTCCAGCGACATGCTGTCATTGTACATATCCGCGCCGCTGTCGTTCTGTGCGGGATGAGGATTGATTAATTATAGATATACAACAAGGAGAGGGGGAGGGGGGGGAGGGGTATTCACCTCGGAGTAGTAGACACGATACTTGAGTATCTCGCCATTTGTCACCGTCGGTGGCTGCCAATGCACAAAGATCTCCTTATGGTTGCGCGCATAGGCGTCCACGTTGCGCGGCGGCCCGGCAATGTTCACCTCCGGCTGTGTGCTCGCCTCCAGCGGCTGCGAAGATTCGCCCATGCCGAAATTGGTATTCGCAACTACACGAAACTGATAGGTGCGACCCGGCAGCAGGGATTGAATGCTAACCTGCTGATCCTCATGCGACTGGGTCACAATCTTTTGCTCACTGTGAAGGGAGACCGGGAATGAGTTACTAATCCTGGCTTGGGCTTATGCATGTCTAGCTCACCGTTCGCTGTTGCTGACGCGATAGTAGACGGTGTAGGAGACGACCTCGTTGGCATTCTGCAGCGGCTCCTGCCAGCTGAGCGTTACGAAGCGCGACTTCACAATCTGCGCGACCAGGTTGCGTGGCGGACCGGGCAGGCGGGCCAGCAGACCGCTGCTCAAAGGCTTCACATCGCTGGCGATGTCCTCGCCGGCGCTTAGATCTGTTGAGGCAAAATTGGATGTGGGGGGTATTTGTTGTTGTTGTTGTTGCTGTTGTTGTAGAGGTTGCGCCTTGTTCTTGTAGACCAGTATTCCGTCATAGTCAACGTCAACGTCAACGTCATCGTCGTCTTCGTCGTCGTCGTCAATGTCTCCGCCTCCGTTCTGGCGGCGCAGCACACTGATCTCGCCCGCCTCAAAGTTGCGATCGTTGAGCGGCTGCTCGCCGGGTCTCGCGAATTTTCGCAATTGGCGCCGGGCCGCCGTCTCCGCGGACTTCTCGTCCGCATAGTTGTCGTAGTCGTCGCTGTCCATGTCCAAGTAGCTGCTGCCACCGGATTTGGTGCGTAGCTCACCCGAGTTGTGAGGTCGTCTTCGTTTGTTGTTGTTGTTGTTGTAGTTGTAATTGTCTGAACTGTGCAAGGATTTGGTGGTTTGACCTTGGGTTTTGCGTTGTTTCATTTTGGCTTTGGATGGGGATTGGGATTGATTTTTTGGGTTCGGACGGAAATAATGAGTTGGGCAGGGAAAGAAAAAAAATGACAAGTGAATAAACAATAAGTTAATAAATTAATTAATCATAACAAAAAAGGAAAATAACTTAATTCGCTCTGAGCCTGATTCACGAGAGATTGAATGTCACCCAGTTGGATTTGCAGTTGCAAAAAGAAGATGTCTAATCCTATATCAGATACGATCTCAATTGGGATTCGATGCATAGAGCACAGAGTAATATATAGCTCTTAGTCTGACTAAGACTAATCGTATTGGGTATTCCCGTAGTAAAGTCTAACTTATTTCCTAGTCAGATCAAGAGTATATATATCATATATGTTACATCAAATGGGGAGTCAAACTCGAAAGCTACTTGATCGGTGATCTAGAGACCTGGATTACTTGGAATACTATTGCTTAAGGACTGCACCATAAAATCTTTACCTCCTTAAGTACGATTTGTTTCCACATGTTGAAAGTTTTCTTGTAATTCCCAACAAATTCAAGCAATATACAGAAGGTTGTCTGAATCGACAGCAAATGGTACGACGATAGGACTATCTAGGATTCCACGTGATTTCTATCACAAGTTTAAGCATTAAGTAGATACAACCTAGACACCATCCAGTTAATATGGATAGTCCATTTGTATTCCATAAACTTTTTCCATTTGTCGGGCAGAAAGCGAATTAAGCTCAACGAAAGCAACTAATATTTATAAACAATACGAAACACATACATACACACAGATATTATTTAGTATATATACACAATAAGTACAGGAAATTAGTTTACAATAGCTGAGGGAATTTGAGGTTAGGGCGTGGCGTTAATTTCGTTGAGTGTTTTTTTATAATATGTACAGTTTCGAGGCCTGAAACAGGCGCCAATTGCGTAAGCCGTGAGCACGAAATACTGGACATCCAAGCTAGGTCTACAACTACTTCTATACGGATGGGATATATATGTACGAGGACCTACCTCCGGGGGGCACGACACGCAGACGCGCCGAGGCCTGAACGCTGCCAGCGGGATTGGTGCCGACGCACTGAAACATGCCCGCATCGGAGTAGAGCAGTCCACGGATGCGCAGATTGTGCCCGTTGACGAACTGCAGGTACTCGTTGGGCGTGATGACCTCGCCGTTCTTTAGCCAGCGTATGCTCGGTTTGGGCTTGCCGTGTATAGCGCACTCCAGATTGAGCACCTCCTTCTCGGAGGCGGTCTTGTCGCGCGGCGCCTGGATGAACTTGGGCGGCACCTGGACCTGCACGGTCGCCTGGGCATCGAGCGAGTCAACGCTGTTGCTGGCCCGGCACTGATAGTTGCCCGAATCGATGTCCTCGGCGCCGGAGATCTGCAACGAGCCGGTGCCTGTGATCGAGAATCGCGAATCGAGATGATTGAAATCGAGTTCCTCGCCATTGCGTAGCCACTTGATCTGCGGCTTGGGCACACCATTGGCCACACAGTCCAGGGTGACGGTGTCGCCCTCGCTGACCGTTTTCGGCGAGGGTCCAACCAGGAACGAGGGCGCCACAGCCTGCTCGGCGCCAGCATCCACAGGCTTCTTGATGTTCAGATTCGTCTTGCTGCTCAGCCGATGGACGCTGCCCGAGGTCACGTTGCACTGGTAGGCACCGCGATCGTTGGCGTTTACCTCATCGATTTCCAGTGCACCGTTCGGCAGCACCACCATGCGCAGCTTATCCAGCGGCAGCGGCATGTCGTCCTTGTACCATTGCACCGTATGCCTTACGCCCGGCTGCCACACGTGCTCGCCCACCATGCAGCGGAAGTAGGCCGTCTGGCCGGGCAGCAGGTACGTCTCGATGAAGTCCTGGTTCAGTTCCGGCTGGCGGGCAATGGCCACCAGAGCCGGACGGCTGAGCACGCTGCCGATGCCCTCGGCGCTGAGCAGGCACTGGTAGGCGCCGGTCAGGCCGCGATTCTCCTCCACGGAGCTGATGTATAGCGAACCGTTCTTCAGTTGTGTGCGAAAGGTGTCGCCCACAACACCCAGATCCTGGCCGTCGGGTCCGCGCCAGCGTATGCTTGTCGGCGTGGGCGTGGCCTTGCCCTTGCCAGCGGCCTTGCCGGCGCACTGCAGCAGCACGGAGTGGCCCTCGGGCACGACGGAGTCCTGCGGCTCCAGTGTGAACGTGAGTGCTGCAACAAGAGAGAGAGAGAGAGAGAGAGAGAGAATAAGTGAATAAGTTGTTGTTGCTTCTGTTGTTGTATTCACAAGCACAAGTCACCCCCACGTGACCCGGTCGGAGCACGCGCGCCCACTTGACGGCGGAAGGCAGCTGCAATCTGTCAGCCTGAATAATTGACGCTACAAAAGCTCCGGCAAGCGCCCGCCTTCGCTTTTTAGGCTCGCCCTTGGGCCAGACAAATATTTGCATTTCCACTTTGGCCCCAGCCACTCTCGCTCTGAGAGGCTGCTGCCAATGAATATCTAACATACTTTAATGGCAACAAACGCAGGAATCGAAGAACCCTGGACTAAGCTGAAGCCGAGGCGGACTTAATGCCCGCCTCAGTGCTGACACTTTTGCTTCTGGGGCCGGGGTAATGCTCTGGTCTCAAGTTGTCTACAAAGTGTTAGGGCTATTTTAACTCTGCATTATGTTTTCAAAGGCTTAAAGGTCTAAAAAATACAACTAAATGGAGTATATGAAGTATTTTTAACTTTATATCAAAGAGCTTTATTCTACATTTTAGTATTCTATCTTTTATTATAAGTCTAGATGTGAATCTGAACTAGAAATATTTTGAGCTACTTTTCAAGAGTTGAAAGTTGCAGATGATTCTCTTTTGAAGATGTTTTTACGCTTTTTCAATAATCTTTCAATTAAAAGCTGTACAAATTGTAATTTTAGACTTTTTCTGAACTAGTTTTCGTATTACTTTCGAAGTAGTTCGAATAAGTTCCATAGTTAGCCGGAATATAAATTTTCGTTAGCCTTTTTGTGAAACACTTTTGAAGCATTTTAATAGTACAATAGTATATCAGAACAAACTTTAGGGGATTTTGTTGCATTTTCATTTCTTAACCAGAGTTACTTTAGCAGTTTATTTGAATTGCGTATTTAGCCTTTTTTCTAGCCATTTTTGGTTGTTCTGCTGTCAGCTCCGGCAGCGACGACTTCCAGATGCTATATTTAAGTAGCATTAATTAGGCATCAAGGAGTCGGAGATTGAGGGCAATGCGGCAGCTTTCATAATTTGCAAAATTTATCCAGCTGTGCAAATGAGAGTAGCACAACGCACATTCATATACTTAAAGCAGGGTTTGGATGGGGGTGGTGAAGGAGTAGCTGGTGCTGCAGGTGCACTTACTGGCAAATGGGTTCATTTGCTGCCACCCGCCGTGGAAACTCCCTTCGACAAGGCAAGCCAAGGTATGTTGACCGCACGTGAACTCGAGCACGGCTCTTGCATTTGAGTCTCAGCCTTTGGAGTTGGCCTGCGCAAAGTATGCTGGCAATTTGTTGGCTTTGTTTTGCTTCCGCCTCGCTTCAGGTTCCGCACTGAAGTTTACCAAGTTTACGAGGCGTGCAGCTAGCAGGGGGCGGTGGGAGGGAGGGGGTACAATTGCCAGCTCCTTAACTTCATTAGGGTACCAAATTTATTTCCTGCCAGTGCACAAATAGAACCCACTACTTAACTGTTTCTTTTTGCTGCAGCTAATGGCAATCCGAGAAGATGTCGCATTTTTTGCTTCTTTTTTTTTTCCAACTCTCTTCGCTTCGATTTCCTTTCAATACGAATTTGAATTTCTATTCCATCTGTGTCTGGCTCATATTCAGCTAGGAAGTCATGCATTTAAAGTCCCGACGTGTGGCTTTTATGGTTATTGCTTCGTTCGCCCGGAGAAGCTCCGAGCTGGAGCTGGCATTTTGCGGTTTTACGTGAGGGCCGCGACTCATTGGCTGTCACCATTTCACTCGACCCATGTAATTCTATTCGCAGTCTAACGCAGACACCAGACCCTCTGCTCTTTATACCCTCGTGTCATTCAAATTCATTGAAAGGGCATGATACATTAAGTTTAGTTCTTTGAATCATAGATTTAGCGAAATTATATATGGCAAATTGGACTTTTAATTTAGTTCTTGATCACCAAAATATATATTTAATACGAGACTATTTGGTATTCATTTCTATCTAAATCGATTGTTGAAAATGAAACTGAATTGGATTACATTTAATTTCATTATTTAATTTAATTTAATTAAATTACAGCTATAAGCAAATGTTAATGATATTTTTGCAATCGATAAGTTAAACTATATATCGATTAACTCTTATCGCATATATATATTCGATTAATAATTAAAAAATCGTATGAAACCTTTGACTGACACATCTTTATAGGGTATACTCGCAGTCGATCACTCTAAGCTACACATTTCAAATAGCTTTTAGAGCGGACTTTTAGGCGCTGCTCCATCAAACTAAACACACTGAACGCAGTTGGGCTTCACAGAGAACAAATATAAATGCTGTCTAACCCTTATAGGCCACTTTCCCCCCCCCCCCCCCCCCTCTCTCTCTCTCTCTCTCTCTCTCTACAGAGAAGTCTCTCTTATTTTTTATTTCTCTGGAGTTGTCTTGGTCTGCAGCTGCATTTTGATTGACATTTGCGGCGTGAAGTCTTATATTTCTGGTATTGGATTTCATATGAATTTCAGAGTTCATTTTATGGGCTACCTGCACTTTGTGGCACGTCTCAATTATGCGTCCCGATGGGCCACGCCCGCATTTATATCCATGTATACTTATGTGTGCATGTTGTGGCAGCTGCATTTTTGAATAATTTCAGAAATATGCCAATCTATAAAAGCATAATGGAGCTCTAAATCAAATAGCGACATTGCCACAATCAAAATTCGTAAAACGGCGCACAGCGGGCGCGCGCGTTCAATTAAAATCGTTTTTATTGCTCGAATTGATTTTTATTGTCTTTCGCTTACAGTTTGTGGCATGCATTTCACATTTCTCAGCTACACAGACGCTGCCATAGATACAGATACATATACAAGCAGATACAGATACAGATACATTTCGAAAGGCAAATTGAGGTTATCTGTGCAGCAGCTACCGAAATTGTGTCAATTGCGTTCGATTTTGGTGGAGCTCTTATCTAAGTCTGGAACTGTCGCCAGGCATAACATAAAAGAGGGAGCAGAAATCATAATAAAACTAAAAATAATAATAAGAGGCCCAGGCCCACTTGCATTCGATGAAAATTAATTATCATATTTATTTCACATGTCAAGCGAAAAGCAACAAAAATCAAAAGTCATTTTAATGAAATGCTAATTGGATAAATTTTCAAAACCAATAAGAGTTGCAGAGAGCGTGAGAGGGGATGGGGAATGAAAAGGAGAGGGGGGCTTGCACTTGAGAGCTATTCCATTTCTCATTTTATACGCATTGCCCTGGCGTCTGGCTGTTGCCACAAATGAAGTTGCAACCAACTGAAAGTTCCTCTCAGACGGCCAGATAGCTCGGCATCATAATCAAATTTTGTAAATTTCGTATCGTGGCCATTAACAGGGCCTTTCACTTAGTTACCCTCCTCTCCTTCCCCCCCTCACATCACATTTGCCCCTCTCTACTGCTTGGTAAACCGCAGCGGCGCCGTGGCATATGGAAAACTTTGTCGGCTGCCGCTTGTGTCGTTGGCAATTAAATGAGGCAAAAGTTGCTGTTGCTTTTGGCTGTTGGCTGTTGGCTAATGCAACACCATGCCTCATGCCCCATCATGTGGCAACTGTTGAGCCGTCCTCTGTCCGTCTGCCTGTCTGTCTGTCTGGCTTCCTGTGCGGCGGTTAACTAAACAGGAGTTACGTATAGAACTTCCTTTACAATCCATTTAAATGTAATGCTTTAAGTTGACAATTTTCGATATTTTGCTGTTCCGCTTTACAAAAACTCCTAAACTCAGCTTCATTCTTTTGTACTGCTGCAGAAATTGCATTTTGGAACACACTTCTGGATCTCAGTGTGCAATTTTAGTTCAGCTAATATTTTCTTGCTCTTGTCAAAAGTTCGAACTGTATTTAGAAGTTTTGTTTTTAAGGATTCGACATTTTCAGAATGAGTTCTTGATCTATTATAGTAACATTACGTTAACTTTGCATACATTTAGAAACGAATAGTTAAAAAAACTTACTTTGTCAATTCTTTGTTGAAATTAGAGCTCGGAACAATTCTCTAGAACAATTTTTGTGGCCAAAAAAAAAAAAACGAATTTCTTCGTTTGTTTTTTGCACATGCTGTTTCCAAAAACTCCAAATTTAAACTCAATTTTAACTGAGCTTCATATGCTGATTTTTAATATTGAAAGTTATGTTTTCTGCCCTCAAATATCTTTGATTTACTTTTATCGCATAAATATCTCTTCACTGCCATAACTCAGTTGAATTTTCGCAGAAACTACAGCTCGGAACATGCCAATTGAATTGTGCATACAATTTATGCATTTTACCAAACTGTTGTTGGCCTTTGTTTCAGCGGAAACAGTAAAACAAAAAAAGGACGTTGCATTACTTTTATTATGCGGCTACCCCGGCTACATACTCCCACAGTCTCGCCCGGCGCGATTTACAAACCAGAATTTTTGCGCTTGAAAAGATTTTGTGTGCATTTGTCGAAACGGAGTAGGCTGTAAAATATGTAAATGTACTACAATGAAAGCCCGAAGCCCTCGATGCCCAAACCTAAGCTCTCGGCATTTCATTCTCTTTTCGAGCAAATAGAAATGTTTACCATGCAAATCCCCAAGTTACTTTCGTATGTAAAGTCTTTAACAAAATGCTTTAAATACTTTATTTTTGTACATTTTGTGGCCCCTAATTCCCTAATTCCCACTCAGTGCCTGCAACAAGCTAGAGTCAGCAACTTTTCGTATATGGCCTCTCATATATCACACAATGCAGACTTTTAATTCAACCCCTCGAATTGCCGCAATTTGGGCTGAGAAAATATTTATTTTAATTAAGGAAATAAACGGAGAAAAAATGTATATATTTCTACATGAAAAATATGATAATATTATAATGCCTGTTGTTGCATAATTGAGTTGTCGTCCACGACAGCAACCAGATCCACAATTGGCCAAGTTCCCCCTTGCCCGCAGCTGCCTTCCCCTTTGA